GATTAAAGATGCCTGGAAGACCTTGGTTCAGCTCCTCATGAGAATTCTGAACTGTGATGGACAAGTCACTTAGGAGCATTCTTGGAAAAAAAATACCTTTGGGATTGTTTCTTTCCTTTCAGTGGAAGTTACAGCTCTTGGCACTTTTCAAACCCTTCTCCCTGTGTTTTCAGTACTTTGTTTTGCCCATTCTTTAAAAAATGAAATACACACTGGTATTGTCTACCTCGCCAGGTTATTTGGATGGTGTAATCATGGACACAGGGACATATGAGAAGTAACCATGCAAGCACCTCACCACAGAGATTTGGGAAACTCCAGACATGTGGAACACAGCTCAGGCCAAATAGAGATGGTGACATTTGCTCTGGGCTCACGGCTGCATTTCAGAGTGGTGAGCCAGGCCAAGAGGGGTGGAGAGACCAGACCAGCTGCCCAGCTTCAGTGTCCAACTTCAGCATTAAAAAAAGTCACTGATTGCTCAAACCACATCTATTTTAAAAATTCAGGTTAACAAAGCAAAAAAAAAAATAAAATAAAATAAAATAAAATAAAGCAAAGAATTTACTTAAATGGCTAACAGGAAACATCTGATCCATGGGCTAAAACTCTCTCATTAAAAGAGGAGTTCTGTTCATGGCTAGTTTTCAGGACCTCCACTGGACTTTTCATGCAAACAGAATGATTAAAAGCATATTACATTTTTAAATTAATCAGTTCCTGAAAAAGGCATGAAACATTTTGGTGCTGTGCTGGGGTACTGGCAGACAGTGCTACCCAAGTCCTGTCCACCAGCTCCTACAGACCATTTGTGCTCCTTCCTGCAGCTCATCTTGTGGATTTATCTGCACACCGGGCCTTCAGCCCACACATTTCTCCTCTGGCTTTAGCTGGCCACATCTGAGAGTACTATGAGATGTTACCAGTTTCCCAAATCTCAGCTCATGTGGTGCAGGAGACTCTTGGCTCACTCCAAATGCAAGGAAGGGTCTCAGCTGCATCCAAAGCAGAGAAAAGATTGGAGCAAGAGAGGAGATGTTTATCATCTTGGTCCCTCCAGAGAGTAGCAACATTTGTTTTGTGACCTGAGGTTGTGCCAGCCTGGCCAGACACGTGGCAGAGCGTGTCCCCACTGTTTGCATGGACAACAGCTGAGCCTGTGTACCTTGGCAAAGCCCCACGCTCTGACATTCAGGATGGATCTATCTTAGCCCTCCATCAAAAGGTTGGGGAGGCTACAAAATGAAACCTTCCTGACCCAGAGGAAGCCCTACTTTTTGGCTATCCAGTCTCCCATGAGGCGAGTGATGCCTTTTCATGATGCAAGAGCCTGCTCATGCTGGTGGGGAGGGCAGGGGTATCCCATGACCTTCTGACAGCTTATCAGATGAAGAAAAACCAATATATTGCAACTTGGTGCTCACTGGAGGCAGGAATTACTGCATGATAAGCCACCACAGAAGAGGAGAGCGCACATGAGAAACAGCCTGGTGAGAAGGTGCCACCGAGGTGCCACAAGCGAGAGGGGGATCCTGCCTGTGATCCTGGCACTGCACTGCTGCTCCCAGCAAACCCTGAGCTTGGTTCCAGTGGCTGCCAGGTCACTGCTGGCTCTCTGCTGTGGGTGACAGAGGGGAGGGACCTGGACTCACTCACATGCTGATCCCTGCGCATGAGCTGTCACCCTTGGCATTTCCACGCTAGGCTTCAGCTGCTGAGCCCAGGGGAGAGCTCTCCAAAGACTGTGTGTTATCCCTGTTTTGCACAGAGCTGGAAGAGCCAAGCAGCTTGTGTGATACTGCATGTCATGGAGAGAAACCAGAACGATGAGCACAGAGACGGGCAAGGAAGCAGAAGTATCTGTTAATGGCTTGTGCTGCTGTTACCAAATCCTTCCAGCCTTGGGGATGGCCTGATCCTGTCCTGCTTTGTAGACTCTTTGGGCCAGGGCTTTTTGTTTTGTTTGCATGATACCTGACCCAGTGAGGATCTGAGCACAGGACCAGCAGCACCACCAGGTTCTTAGAAAAATGTAAGGAAACCTCAGTTGTGTTTAACTCACTTGTGAATAGACCTCAGATGAACTTCAAAATTACTAACTATGTCTTCGAATTAAACTTCTCCTCCTTCTTTTCTAACTCTTTAAAAAGAATACTACTAACAAAACAGTTTGTAAAAATCATAGGTATAAAATAGCACAGCTGGTGCAGTACTGATACTCTATGTGAAAAAGAGAGAGATAAGCACACATCAAAACCAAAGATGAACCAAAAAAGAGCTCAGAGCTCTTTGGATATCTTTCCTGAGGTTTTGCCTTTAAGTCTTTTCCTCTAGCAGAGCTTAAGAACTTCTGACAGAATTCCACTCTATTTGAAGTTTAATACAATATGCAGTGCAGACAGTTCTGATTGTGGCTAGCCATCTCCCACGGCATAAGAACAGCTTGGTGTTCCTTGAGCTAGTTCTATCTCCTACTCTCCCTATGAGTCATTTCCTACAGTGGCAGCACATCTCCTTCCTAGAGATGAACCAGGACTGACACATTGCCTCTGCATGGCAAGACACGCTATCAACAGCTTCTCTCACTCTTTCCCCGGCACCCCTGATGGAGTCTTGTTTTTATACAAATTTTTTTTCCCCAGCTGCTCAGCTGAACACCATAAAAATCCACAAAAAACACCAAAAAAGACATTTTTTTCCAGCCACTGCACTGGCAAGACTGAAGGTTTAAGCAAGCAGCTGCTTCAGCTCCAGCCCCCCAGCCCACCTCTAAAACAGGCAGATCCAGAGACATACAGACTCCTGTTATTTCAGCCTCCTTTGTGAACTGGACTCCAACCATAACTCTGCCCCAGACCACCCCCAGCCCTCTCCTTCTCCAGGGCCCAGATGTTGGGATGCACTGGCCTCCTGCATCGCTGATGTTGGGCAGGGAGAGCCGAGCAGGAGGTGGAGTCAGCTCTTTACACCACAAACTCACCGTGTCCCTCACAGCTCTACAAAACTTAACTTGCCTGGAAGGATTTCAAGATCTGACTCATGTCCAGTTCCTCTATTTTAATCATTCCCTCTTACATCATTCTCAGAGGCCCACGGTGTCACATGCAACCTCCCCCAGCCCCCTTGGCTGAGCACTGATCCACTGCCAGCTCTCATCCCAAACAATGCTTGGTACAGAAATATGTGTGATACCAACTCCCTTCCTCCTCCCCAGGGCATTCACCAGCTCTGAAGGCAGCTAATAAGGGCTTCCAGGAGCTCTCCCCTGCAATGACAACACGGAGCTAGCAGAGGAACAGCAGCCACACCAGCAAATCTAAGGCTGCAGGGATGGGAAAGACCAGGGAAATCCCAGAAGGCTCACAAAAACCCCAAAGCAGCTGGGAGGCAGCACTGGCCAGGAGATAAGTGTTGGGAAGAGAATCAGGTCAGCTGGTTCCTGCTTTTTTTGCCATTTTTCCCAGAGACCTCCTGAATAACTGTGGATGTCACTTAATCTTTCTGTTCACGCTCAGAAGTTCAAATCATCAGCATCGGTCCATTCAAGATTTCCTATTAAACCTGATACCATAAAACAGGGATGCAGCCAGAACTCTCCGAAGGAGCCAAGCAGAACAAAGGTGCTCATGCGTAGCCATTTAATCCTTTCCCCAGATCCCAGCCTAAATGCCTCCACGGCTGAGAGATTCCCTGCTGATCTCAGGGGAGCCCCTTGCTCGTAGCAGTGACCGCCAGACCGAAACCCTTGCCTGGAAGATTACAAATGCTGGCCAGCCAACAGCTGGAAGGCTTTGAGCCCACAGCGTGCTCTGTGCAGAGAGCAGAGCCCCTGCCCCTAACTACAGTTGCTGTGTTTGTTTTGCCCTGGCCAGCGAGTCATGGTTACACCAGGGGCTCTGCACTTATTCAGCACAGGGGTTTCTGGTGCAAACAGCAGCTTGCAAAAGATCTGGTGCAGATTGGCAGCACCCCTCCAGAAAATCTGCTCGACCTGTCCCCATGTCAGGCACAGGACAGGCGGGATGGACAGGGCACTGCTGAGGTGTGTGCATGGATTCTGCAGTGAGGACACCAGCGAGCCGGGGCTGGGACTCCTGGGCAGGATGTGCTCCAGGCCAGGGGGGCATGGGGAAATGGATTTTTCCATGTGTGGGTGAGTGGGCATTTTGCAAGAAGCCTGTGAGCGCAATGATGTCCAGAGGTCAGAGGAAAATCAAGCTAACATGAAGGACAAGGTGCAAAGGCAACGAGACACAGCAGAGCTCCAACATGCCTGAGCTCTCTGCTGATTCCTGCAGCAAAAAGCTTTATCCAGCTTCCTAAAGGAGGCATACAGAACTGCTTGGAAGGAGGTTGATGGGGTAAAGTCTTTCCTTTCTGTCCTTTCCCTGTTTCCTCTGCTCATTTCAGTCTTTTTCCCACTTGCTCCACAGCCTCACACTTCAGCCTTGCTTGCAAACACCTCTTCCTCCTGGCCGAGCTCTCACATCTACCTGGTCTCCTTGCTCCTCAAACACTTCTTCCCCAATCTGGTACACCACCAAGGACAAAAAGGTTTCTATACAAAACCACACTTGCTTTACACAAACCAGGATGGGACAAGGGTTGGAGAGAGTCACAGCAAGAAGAGGATAACGTGATGGAACTGGTGGGGGTGCAAAGCAGGAGATGGAGCAGAGCCTGCAGTCATGATTGGGAATTAAAAGAGTGCATCTAGGGAAGCGATTGGCCAGAGGCAGGACAGGAGGGAAGATGTAGAAGAAAATCTGAGAATTGTGAGAATCAAGGGAGAATGAGAAAAGAGCACTAATGCCTGTGAATTGAGCAGAGCATGGAAGAGAGGAAGAGAGCAATATCTCTGTCTTTGGTTTTCTTCCTGCTTGGGCAGACATACATGGAAAAGTTTGTTTGAAGATACAAAGGGACACAGCCAAAAGCCAAATGTCTTGTTCCCAGTTTCATTCAACAAAGTCTGCATAATAGACGAGGAAAAACTTTACCGGCCTACCCATCTTGCCCCTCTTCCCAGGAACTCCAGGGATCCCCTGCAAGGAAAAAACACAGAGAGAGAAAAAAAAAAAAAGAAAAAAAGAAGTTCTGGTTGAGAAATCAAACAGCCAACCAACAATACAAAGCAAAATGAGAAGAGAAAGGAGAATGCAAAACAGGCTAATGACTGTGGCATTGTTTGGGAATCGAAATGTCAGCTACTTGCAGTCGGCTGGGAGAGCAGAAGACAATTAACCTTCACCCATTAACTACGGCCTCCCGAGGACACGCGCAGGCAGCATCCCCAGGCTGGGGCTGTGCTTAGCAGGAGCAGTCATTAAGCTACTGGTCTGGAACCGAATGCAGGCCACCGCCGAGGCACTCGCTGCAGAACTTGTGTTTATGTTTCTTATTTAGTTATACAAGCATTAAATCAGCGTCGCCAGAGCGCAGGGCAGGCCCCTCCCAGGCAGGCACGCTCCCACATGGGCCTGGGGCCTCTCCGCGTTCTGGAGCTTGCATTTGAGGGAGGAAAGGCTGGAATCAAACTGTGTTCATCTTCCAGTGACCTTTTTAGGAGCTCTTGTAGCGGGGAGAAGGGGATCCTTGGATGGGAAGAGATTGGGCTGGTGGGAGGATGTGGAGATGAAAAGCAAGGGATGAACTGTAAAGCTCTGGAAACTTGGGCTGTTTGGGAAGGCACGATGAAAAGGACAGGAGGAAGGGAGGACACAGCCACAGCTGCCCACTCACGGCCCCATGCTTGACTGCCCAACTCAATGCAACTGGAAATAAAGCCATTTTCAGAAAGCCCAGCATTGTCCCTTGCAAGAGCCAGGCTCTTTCCAGACATCTCCAGTCAGACACAAAATGCTTTGTGGCTGGGAGGTGATTCCTGTGGGAGCAGGGAATCTCCATGTACGTTCGCCTCACTCTGCCCCACCTCACTAAAGTGAGCTGGTGAGGGGGAGAGGGAAGGCAGGTTTTTAAGTGAAGGAGAATATAGAAAAACTCCTCTGTAGTCACCAGCAAGGTCTGATGGCCCTGCCTGAAGCCTGGGTTCTCCTCAGCTGAACATCAGCCTTATACAGGGACACAGGTCTTCATTCAAGGGTAGGAAGAGGCTAAGGAAGGGATTGTTAAGCATTAGGCGTGCTTGCCTCCTTCCTCAGGAACTAGGGAGAGAGAAGGTTACATCAGGCTCTGAAGAGCTGCATTCAACCAACACACCAAGGTTTTCTTCACAAAATACTCACTCGTTCTCCATCAGCCCCTGGTAGCCCAAATAGTCCTGGGAGACCAATATACCCCTAAAAAAAAGAGGAAACAAGCAGTCAGATATGTTCCTCCGTTAGCACCCAGTCAGTCTGTGTTTCCTGAAGAGCAGAGCAACCTCCAGCGTTGGTCAGTGGCAGCCGTGATGAAATAAACCTTGAGGCAAGTGTATATGCCCATGGACTGCATGGTGCTGGCTTCCACGATGTAGTCCAAGGGCACATACCCTCACACCAGGGATCAGGAGGACTCCAGGCAGGAAGAGGACAGCCAGAAGAAACCTTACCTGGGCTGGCTCTAAGCATACCTGAGGGAAATGGAGCTTGGTTCGAGGTTAGCAAAAGTGACAGCAAAAGCAATCCACAGATCTCCACCTCCTTTCATCTCTGTCTTTGCTTTTGACACTAATTGCCAGCTGTCCTGTCGTATCAAGCCCTTTCTGTGCCCTGGTGGTCCCACACTGCAGCCCCTTCTGAGGCAAAGCCCCCCCTTTTCCTGGCACCAGGGCTGCCACCACCCTGCAGTCAGTCCTGGCTCTGCCCAAAGCCTGTCCCTGCACCACCAAGACCTTGTGCAAACCTCCATCATCCCAGGCACTGAAGGGCCTGCATGGGCTGGGAGAGGCTGAACCTGACATTCCAGGCTTGGGGGATTGATGTGAGGCTCAGCCTGCACATCCACACAGATCCACCTACAGGGAAAGCACCTTTGCACCAACACATTTCACATAAAACCTGCTTCCACGCTCATCAGGAACACTGTGTGTCCAGGTTTCTCTGTGGCCTGGGGGTCCTGCTGAGACAGGACATGAAACACAGTGTTTCCCTTCCCTTCCCACAATGGCAGCCTTGTGTTTAATCCCTTTGCTCAGCAGCCTGGACAAAGTTACCTTGTGTGCCGGGCCTCTGCAATGGCCCGGCTGGTGCCAAACATGCCGAATCCAGAGGAAGTGAATTTCAGCAGGGAGCCCCCTCCGTGGCACCTCACTCTCACAGGAGCCAAGTGCTAACACTGCTTTTCTCTCATCTTTCTTTCTCCATCGTTGCTAAATCTCTATCTGCCAACCCCACCAAACTTTTTCACCAGTCCATCTCTCCCTGTGGGTTGTGTTTCCCTAAGAGATAACACCTAGCTGGGAAATAATGCTACATTAACATGATCCTGTATGCCTTTGCCTCCTGAATCCTAAAAGAAACCACATAACTCCCAAACTTTTCCTGGAGAAGGCAAAAGTAGAGGTGGAGGATGAAGAAGAGTCCAGAGCTGGCTCCCTTTAAACCACAAAATGCACATATCTTACCTTAGCACCCAATTCTGACTGTGGCTGAACTGAGAAAGGGCTTCCTTGGGGATTTATAAATATTTCAGTCCTCACCACTCAGGGGTGCAAAATGGAGACTAACTTCCAAATCTTACATTCTGCACATCTACCACCTGATAATTACACAAGGTTAGAGCAGAGAAGGAGATGCCCCAGGGGAAACCTAAGCCATTGCAGAAGTGGGGTGAGCAAGCTGTGCTCTCAGATTTTCCTCTCTTCTGCAGGAACTGAACCTAACCCTCTCCCTTCCCAGCTCAGGAATATTGCTAGCTACAGGGTCAGCATTTGTTTATTCCTTGCAGTTTTCCTAGTGATGAAAGCCAGCTGCTTGAATTTACTGCATATAGAGAAAGTATCACATGTTAGAGAAATGGGGATTTATTGGCTTAGAATCGCATTGTGAATTTATAATTGCAGGGAAAGAACAAAATGTGATTAACAAGAGCCTTAAGTAGTAATAAAAAAAGAATCCTTTGCAGTGAGAATAAAACCCCAGCAATTAATTTTGGTGAGCAAAACCAGACAGGATGGAGATATTGTTTGTATTTGCACATGGCTTCAAGATGCTGGCTTGCTGTTGTGCATAATGATTTAAATCACTCCCAAAGCAGGCCTGTACCCAAATGAGCCCATATTCAGCGTGGTCAAAGACCACTGAACCACACTGATTGAAACCAAAGAGGCCTTTGGGACGTGGGGCTTGCAGGCTTTGATAGGAATTTGTAAGCCATTCTTTCCTCTCCTGCAATGTGAGCTCTGGAGGGGCTCACTTTATCTTCAGCACTATTGGGGAACTTTGATCACGGTACATTCCATGTTTCATTAAAAAAACTTAACAGTGCTTCAATAAACAAGCAGTGTGCAGCTCAAATCCCCCAAACACAACAAATTAAAACAACCAGCTTCAGAATTGCAACATCAAGCCTAAAGTTTCTTGAGAAGCCTTGGATAAAAACAAGAGAAAAGGCAAATGAAAGGTTGCTTACCCGAGTTCCTTTTGGGCCAGATTCCCCTATGGGGCCAGGTAAACCCTAGAACAGACGGGAAAAAACAAAGACAAATGTGGACCAGTTTTAACTTAAAATAACAAGCAGTACCAACCCCCCAAGCACCATCCCTGCACGGTTCTGCTTTAAGAGCTTTTTAAATCTTTAAGTGCTGCATGGTCCTGCTTTAAGGTTTTGCTTTAAGCGTCCAAGGAGTATCAACAAAGGAGAAAAAAAAAAGACAAAATGATACAAATAACAGATCTGCCATTGTTGGGGAGCTGGGATTCGGCAGAACCTGAGACTGCTGCACAGAGTGAGCCTTCCCTGGGGCTGAAGTAGAGATTTCTGATGATAAAGACCATAAGGGCTGATGCAGTGGGGTGCTCAGAGGTTGTGTTACACTTGGGATGTGAGGCACAGTGATGCTCTGTGCCCAACAGCTCTCCATTCATCTTCCTGCCTAAGCAAACACATGCATAGCAAATGTATTCCAATACCTGCTTAGGGAACACTGATGCAATGAGAAATTTCTACAGCCTAGAAAGTCACTTAGCAATGCAGGTACTGTGATATTTCTAACCTTTTGCAGCATCAGCTATGGAAATAATTGAAAATTCATTCCCTACTTTAATTCTATGCCTAATGCTGCTCACTCAAAACACTGCAAAGAAGAAAAGTGTGAAAATGCAAAATAAATTTTCATGTTTATTGCCTTCTAGAAAGTTTCCAGATCATTTTTTTTTCCTCTAGTTCCAAATTTTGATGGGATTTTCTGGGGGGTGGGGGCAGGAAAAAAAAGGCTAAGTCCATATTTTCTTCAGCTGGCAGTACTGCAGGCTCAGGCTGGGATGTGAAAGTTGGGTTGTGCTCTTTCCTGGCTCCTGCATCATTGCCAAAGATTTCAGGCATCAGGGTGAAGTTACAATCCTGCCTGTGATGCACAAACCAAACCCCAGCCAAGCACTCTCCCATCGCTGCAGAGCCAGCACAGCTGACAGGAGTAACAAGTAGTAAAATCTCAGTAAAGTAAACAGCTCTGATGCAGGATACACACAGCATTCAGATAGGCTGAAAAAAGCTGCCTTAAAAAAAATAAAAAAGTCACTTTCCTGACCCAAACCACGTTTTTAAGAAGGCAGATTTGTTCTTTGAATGTCAAGGCACAGATTTCATCCTGCTTATCTGATGGGCTGAATTGATGAACAGCATTCATTAACCTTGTATGTCCAAAATCTCTTGGACCTCTTCTTATTAGTCATCTAACACACATTCACACCTAGGAGACTCTTTGGCATGCTCAGCTCTAAGAGCCTTTTAGAGTATGAATGGAGCCTTTAGTCAGGTGCATAAAGCTCCCATCCAGTTCTGCCATCTGCTCTCTCCAGTGTGCTAAGCAAGGTATCAGTTTGATTTTCAATTTAAAATGGGTCATGCATTATTGACAGTCTGAGGCAGAGAGTCACAGACTCGTTCTGCAGGTCTAGTTCATGTTTAATCCAATAACCTACACATCTGCATAAAAAATTCACATCCAAACTCATGATAAGTCTGAAAGGCTCAGGACAGAGTGTTTGGGATCTTTGACATCTGCCTGGACTCTTGAATTACAGATAAACGTGGCAGAATCCAACATTAAATGTGTCCATTTTAGAAACCCCTGACAAAACTCACTTCACCACAAAATGTTATGGGGCTGCATGTTCTGTCCTCCAAGAGATTCCATTTTTTAGGGTCTTACAAATTCTCCTCTTTCCTTTACACTACTCAGCATCTTACATCAGTAGGAGAACAAAGTGTCCAATCTTGATCCATTACCCAATGCACACTCCTCCATTCCTAAAGTTGTCTTTGTGTAATTTTTTTCAGCATGAGAACAGTGACTTGGTTGTCTCTCATCATCTTTTTTGCAGCTGCAAATATGATTTTTATATATATATATATTTCCAGTTCATGCATAACTTTGTGTGTGTATACATAGGTTATGCCAGTGCATTTTACTAGGGAGAGTTCATCTAAATCTCCTCCTCCAATAATAAATACACCTTTTTTCCATCCCAGATTTCTAACTTGTCCAACATTAGGTGCAAAATATGCCTAGAAAGGAGTTAGCAGCATGCACGTGTTTTTCTCTGCTCTGCTGTTCTGCTTTCTCCCTGTTGTTATACTGAAGAAGAATCTGTCATAATTTGTTGTAGGAATTCAGGTTTTATCTACCATAGGCACAAAATACTTTCTAACAGCATTTCAGAGTTGAAAGGCTGTGTTACTGGCACAACATCTTGAGGGGGAAAAGAAGGAAAATATTCAGAGATCAAATGTGCAGATATACCAACATTTTCTAGAGGACTGCACTGTCCTTAGTGGGGCATGTCTTTAGCTACCTGCACACCCAAATCCCTACTCTGTGCACAGCACGATGAGATTTACTGCACCTGCCTGCCAGGATAACCTTTGGCACCTGGACTTCCAGCTGGTCCTCGCTCGCCCTTTGGAGAGAAAAAAAGAAAAGGCACAAAAAAGTCAGGTGAATGTCCCACCTGGGGAGTGTTTTTATCTGAATGATTGTGGAACTGATTAACCTGATTAACATTTATAGAGAGGAAAACAATAGTAAGAGTAGATAATGAAGTTAATTAACGAGGGGAGAAGACACACTGAAGCCAATTCAACAGGTCCATGCACGGAGCAAGTGCTGCTGTTTCTCCTTCTCCCTTTTTCTGGGGAAAAGCAGCAGAGAATCTGGAACAAGGACACTAAGAGAAGGTGTAAGGCTGCATCTATATCTGGCATATGGAACCGTTTTGCTGGTGGGAAAGCACTGCCAAAATTCTTCAAAACTAAATGGATTCATGTATAATATCCTTTAACATCATTGCTAACAGGGTCTGCTATTCATTGCTTTTTTTTTTTTTTTTACTGCATTGCAAACATCAAACTTAACCAAATAGAGAAGGGGGAGAAAAGGGGAGGGGTGAATGGGCTTTGGGAAGTGAATCACATATACTCAACACAGTGTGGTTACTAAAGTCCAGGTGAAATTAATGTAAAAAGACAAATAAAGGGATGACAAGCTGGTTTTTCTTCCCCCAAGTAAACTTAGTGTGGCTGAGCAGTAAAAATTAGAAATTAAATTTAGAAACTCCAAGGCAGTCTCCTCCCACCATGCCATTGATGCTGGGTCCTGGTGTGTGTGCCCAGATCCCAGTGTGTGTGCAGCCAGCTCCCCATGTGTGCCCACCTGCCCTGGAAGGACCTGGCTGTCCACACCAAGCAGGCCAACCAGCCAAACCAGCATCACAGCCAGAAAATCCATCCCTCCTTAAAGCTCCCCTGTTGGGAAGTGGGAAAACTCACCTGGTCTCCAGGGTGACCCAGTGGTCCAGGGTAGCCTTTATACCCCTGTCAAAATAGGATGGAAGAGATGAATACTAAGAAACAAAAATACAGTAAAATAATCTGAGTTTGGTTTTTATTTCTCTTTGCCGGTAGAAATAAAGATCTGGGGAGAAACAGGATTTTAGACAGCATTACACAACCACGACAACTTTTATCAAGCTGCTTTGTGTTTGCACCACCCAAACAGCTGATGTGCCCTGCTGTGGTCTGGGGTGGTACATACTCCAGGAGGAATTGCTCCATGAACACATTTGGAGTGATCTCCACACTCAGATCTATTTGTAATCTACACCTTGAGCAGGGCTGCCCTTAATCCTCAGGAAACCACAGACCCACAGAATGAAATATTGGCTTTGGACAGCAACATGAGCCACTTGTGTTTCAGAGCTCTTACTTTTGCTTTAGAGTTTGAAATGCCACAGGAAACACCAAAACAAGCATTTACTGTCACAGGGAACTTCAATTTTTCTACCTTGAACTTGTCTAGCTTTCAGCTTTTCTAATCTAATTATTACAAGATCCAATCTTTCATTATGAAGCTACTGCAAGCTGCCTCTCAACCTGCCCTCGCTGCTGAATTAGTTAGAATGATTTCCTTAATCCACCTTGCTTACTGGCAAGGGTTTCAGGCTTCAAATCATTCTCACAGGTCTTTCATAATCCTGCTTCAGTTTGTCAGTATTTTGCATTTTTGGGGGATGTAGACACTGAAGCAGGACAAGGGCAGCCTGTTTGACTGCAAACTGGGCACTGTGTGTCTTTTAAGGGAGTTTGCTTTCTCCTGGATTTACATAGAGTTCCCTTCAAACAGAGTGAATTCTGTAAGTGATGGACACATCAGATTTTTCCCCCTCTTTATTATCTTGGTTCAGCTGTTTAAAACAAACTTCCATCAAGAGAAGCAGATCAGGAGATGAAGCACAGTTTAAACAGATGACTGTTTAGATGGGCTGTCAGCAAGATTAAAAAAAACAACAAAAAAAGCAGAAAATTTAACTTGAAACAAATGGGAGAGAAAAAAAATGAACATGGAACAATCCTCGCACAAATACTAGAGAAATAACAAATTGCTTTCAAGAGTAGGTTACAACTACTTGTAGCTCAGTCCCTGCTACTCACCCTGTCCTGGCCAGGGCTGCAGCTCACCTCACCTGTGTGTGAGCCCCTCAGGGAGTGTCCCTGCTCTGGAACTCATCACCAGTCACAGGGAGACTGAGCCCTTGGCCTTTGGCTCCACTCACCACACGAACCCAGGACTGTTTCTGCTCCCAGGTCCACACCTCTCATTAACAGCTTTTTTATTCTTCCCACGGGTTACTCCAGACCTGCAGCCTGAGCCTTTGCTGGCAGGGTGTGCAACGCTCTCAGCCATCCTGGCCACTACCTGCTCCCCTTTGCACTCCTCCTGCCTTGTTATTTCAGACAGTCTGGCCTGGAAGGATGTTGATTCCCTTCTCCCAGTTCTGTCCTGCTTGGCTTTGCTGATCTACCATCCCTGGCTCCCTGACAGAGGCTCAGCAGAAAGGAGGGAGGATGCTCCATCCTGGTTGGGTGTCTGGCCTGAAGGTGAGAGCTGCCAACAGAAACATCCCTGGGTTCAGCATCCCCCGTCATTCCCTGGAATTTAGATTTCCATGGGGTTTTCTCCTGGGACCTCTGCCCAGTTCTTCCAGTCTGGAGCAGGAGCTATCTTGTCTCTAGGCAACTGGAGCACCAAGCTTAGAAATATCTGACTTTTCCACTGATAAGAAATATGTGCCTGGCTTGGCTGCTCTGACCCATTCTGCTCCAGCTGGGTTTCTGCAGGATGGGTGTTTTGAGCCTGCAATGTCCACCCAAAGTAGGTGATGGCATGATGATCCCTTGAGATGCTCAAAGCACATCCTGAACTAAATTCTGCACCAGTTCTGTAGTGGAAAGTGAATGGCACTTAGGTTAAATATGAAGACATTCTGCTACTGTTCTGTTACATTAAATATCCTCCTCCCTACATATTCTGGGCTCAGGAGAGTTTCAAATATGTATTTCTTCACAGTATATCCCAGTTATTTCTGCCTCAGGTGAATTACAATAAGGGAAAACAAAAAAAGCTTCTGTATGTTAAAGCTGGCTGCAGTGTGAAAGTATTTACCTGCTAAAATCCTCTTCAAATAGCACTAAAATGACAGGGCAGAGGGTATGAAAACAACTGCATTTGCTCTTTTATCTGAACACTTCCTGATGATTACAGGGCACTCCACACAAAGGGCTGTGATTTAGAAAGAAAATTGCACTCCAGTGAAGAATTTACTCATCTGTGATGATATTTGTAATCTACTCTCTCCTAGCTGAAGAGATCATCCTGCACTTTGGTAGGAAATGTGGAGAATAAAGGGGCCAGGGAATGAGACCTGCATTCAGGATGTTTTGAAGCAGTGACCACTTCCCAGCTCTGTCTTTGCTCTCTGACTCTAATGAAGCTTTGCCTCTCTCACTGCTGTTTTCTCTTCTGGAGCAATGATGCTGCTCTGCTGAGATCTATCTCCAAGGCAGCTGTGGTCTGCAGCCCCAAACCAAAAGCCAAAGCCCACAGATACCTCACAGGCACCAGAGGGAACATCCTGCCACCCTTCCTGGTCTGCAAAAGCACCATTTGCTCTGAGGAGGATGAGAAATGCACCTACTGCTTCTAAGGAAGTTTCATGTACTCGTAGGTGTGTGGAGCTACAGTGACTTCAGGGGTGCTCTGAGTCTATCCAGTCCTGCAAGCCCAATCCAAGTCTGTCAGCATTCCCAAGGCAGGCACTGAGGAGTGAGCCACACTATCCAAAACCACATGCAGCTGCTTGTGGCTCCAGCTCACGCTGCTGAGATGTGGTTTCATTTAGTGGGAAAAGCATTTTGCTTCTCCTGGTGAAATATTTTGCCCATTTGAAGGTTTCTACATGGTGTTCTGTGATCAAAGCCCTGAGAGCCCTCTTTGCAGCGCCTCCATGGAGTGAGAAGAGGGATGTCCATTTCCAAGGCGCTGCTGTTTTCCGGTAGCCAAGCACCAGTGTATTTTCACTGGGAGAATGCCAGCAGGGAACCCAGATTAAAAAAAAAAAAAAAAAAAAAAGAATTTTTTTTTCCAAACATTTCTCCAACAGCTGTAAATTTTTCTTAATGCAAGATGCTAATAAAAGCCAGGTTACACCGAACCCACTGCCAGACTAGTGCTACTGGGAGGTGTTTTTAAGCTGCACCAAAGGAAAAATTTCAACATCCAACTTGCTCATTACTTGAAGAAACAGAAGCATACCCCTGCCTTTACCCTGTCCTGCGGGAGCTAAGATCAGATGTGAAGGCCATGTGCTGGACTTGGGAATGTTTGTTCAATCTCCTATTCCTTCTCTGCTTTTTCCACTATGAGTGCTTGCACTCCTGACATTGCATTTTGCTGATCATAACCACAAGGTTTTGTTTTATGAGCTGTTATACCAGGAAAATGGTATTCTTTGCACCCTATTAGTTAGAACTTGTTTGTGACAGCAAAAGATCCGTAATTAATCACTCAATTGCTCCTACTCCACACAGCACCCCAAGCGTGACCAGCCTTGGAGTAGAAAAATAAACTCAGCCCTCCTCTTGGCAATTTGGTTCTAGTATAAAGCGTACAACAACTAATCATGGAGAGGGAGGGTTCCTTCCAGCCTCCTCCACACCTTCTTTCTCTCCTTGGAGTCTTAAAACATAGCCAAGGAGGTGTTTGTGTGCAGCTAATTGACCTGAGGAGCAGTGTATGGTCAATGGCCCATTGACTGATGAAGTGATTGAAACAAGATGCCAATTTTAACTGTTCCATTTAGCTGTGGCAATATTGGCTTGCTCAGAAGGGGAGTCATGGCCACTGAGCCCCACTCAAACAGCTCCCTGCAACAGGCCCAGCTTCCAAGGAAAGAAACCAACCTACCAATCATGGAACTGGAGACTGAGCTGAAATGTCCTTGATCTGTGGAAGATCTGAGCTCCAGGTGTGGATGGCTGAGGTACTGCTGTGCAGGCTTGAATGCATGGATAGAGACACACACCCTGCTGCATCAGGAAAACAGGGATGGATCTGCTGTTCTATCCTCACATACCCTTTTCTAGGCATAAATTGTGTTGTTTGTGATGTTAATGGTGTTGAAGCAGAAATATGGAAACAAATAAAGGAAAACCTGAGCAGTGCTGACAAGCAAAATAAAGAGGGAAAGCACACAGGTACGTTTTTGAAATGTGCTTTACCAGGATAGACAGTTGTGGTTTCCTTGGAATGCTAGCACTGTTCTGAATCCATCCTTTGAGTATTGCTGTTATTTGGAGATCCCTTTAAATAATGCACTGGCTGTGCCAGGCCTAAATTGGGCTTGCTGAGGAATACCCGGTGTCAGGGTGCAGAGAGATACAGAACACAAAGAAGGAACAGAATTCTGTACCCAGAATTTCATTTTGTACTCTTACATAGTTTTTAGGCAGTTGTTTCAGCCCATCTCCCTAGGTTTTACACCTGCTAAACAGGCATAAGGCTCCTTGGGTACATACTGGGACTTAAATTAAATCTTTCAGGCAGAGTTAAAGAAGAAAATTTTAAAATAAAATTACTGATCTAATTCACTAAAAAAGAACACTCTTACCTTTCTACCAGGTGGTCCAGGGAACCCAGTTAAACCAGGTAAGCCCACGTCTCCCTGTAGGAAGCAAGCAAGTCCAATTAGTTTTCAGCAACATTTTCCCTGTGCCTACTGCAGTTACCGCAATTATTTTGCTGACACCAGCCCCCAGCTATTGATATTTCTGGTTCTAATCACAACTCCTCAAAACCTAACTGGATAAGAAGAGTAGATTTAAACAACATCTCTATTAACTGGCTCATATAAATAATAACCCCAGTTAATTAATGGCAGCTGCTGCTGGAGTCCAGCTTTTCGCAAGCAGAATGAATGCGCTTTTTTTCCCCTCAATGATCTCATTCAGTCACATGCTTCATTCGCCTTTCAATAGGCATTGAAATCGCCAAGGCAAGGAAATTTTAGACTTTAAATGCAATAAGAACAACAGGTACCTCCTGCCAAATCCTGTGATTTGCTCTCACACTCTGCTACTGGCCTGGCTCAGCCCATGGCTGCCGTTCGGATGGTGCTGGTGCTGCAATTATTTAACCTGCCCATCTGACATGGATTGAACCTTTGCAGGCTGCTGGTGGGAGGGTTTCTTCAGTGGTCTGTACTTCTGAAAAGGGATTGCATCACATCCCAGCTGGCAAACCCAAACCATCTCAGAACGGATGAGCGCATTGCTGTGAGACCTCTCCAACACCCAACCCGCCTGTGTGAGCCCACTTGGCCTCCTCTGATCTGGATCAAAAAACCCTGGAGTGCCTTCTTACTGGAATTCAACAAATTTCCAGTATCTAGCTTGAAAATTAGGCATCACTCCAAACTCCTGCTGGAAATTCCTTATTCTGACTGCTATCAGGAATAAAGCCTCGTTAACACAAACTAAAGGTGATCTGGATCTCTCCCTTTTTTACATCAACATTGTCTTCAAGAAAAGCGTTCCAGACCCTGAATGTGGACGATTTCCACATGATTCACTGCCAGAAATTTCAAAAGACATCTCATGGTGTTAAGTTAAAGCCTTATTTCAGGCCAAGCCTTCTGAATGTTTTCTAGCATCGCCTTCATGGAGGCATCTGGTGTCAAATGAAGGTCCCAAGCTCCTTATGGCTGGTGCTTTCTATGAGCTGTGCATTTATAGCAAGGTTTATGGTGAGAGGAAGAAAACCAGGCTTCTGCCCTGGCCATGAGTTTCCAAGGATTGTGCAGGCATCACTGAAAGAGCTAACTGGGGTAGATGATGTGGAGCCCTGATTGCCCTACTGTTCATTTCTAGAATTCTGTGAGGGCTTGTTGCCTCAGTAAAAATCACCCAGGGGCGAAACATCAAGAATGGGAGTTGTAACTTATTGAAAGGAATTAGCAGAACTCTGATCCTAAAAACTGCTAGACCCAGAAAGCAGCTTTCCTTCCCAGCTGGGTGCTTTGTGTTGGTTTGAGCAGCCCTTGGTGGAAGCCCCTCAGTGAGAACCATAACTTAGGAGTCTCCACCAAGAAATTCTACCCTGATGGGGCTGCAGCATGAGGCAAACCCCTGTTCCTCAGCAAGAACATCCTTTCCTTGGCCTCCAAGGTTTTTATTCCTTACACTGGGATTTCCTTTTGCTGCAGCTGCATGCCCTGAGCGTGGCTGTACCTCAGATGTGCCACTTGAAACAGTTGGCTGAAGCAGCCACGTGCCTGTGGCAGCAGGGACTTCAGCTGGGCTGCAGATTGTGGATAAACTGGAGAAACACTCAGACAACCCCACCATGGCAGGTGGCACCCCAGTGCACTATGATCACTGACAGCTCCCTCTCTTCAGTCCTGAATCCAAGATCTAAGCCTTATTTCTCAGTCCTAAGTCTACTTGAGCAGCTGGGATGTTTGTGGCTGCAGGACAGACCCCTGTGTGTGTGCACACTTCTAAAAGCCCACCATGGCCTCGGGGTGACATCTCACCTTCTGCCCATTGCGAGCTTTTCCCGGTGACAGCCCAGGATCACCTTTCTGACCCTGAAATGAAAAACTTGCATTAGTGACATAATCCAAGGGCCCAGCCCACAGATGTGCTTCTGCTTTCACCAAGCCTCCAAATTAGAAAAACATTTTGTTTTATCCCAGTCTTCCCTGACATCCCAAATGTATTAAAGTGGCCTGGAATAGCTGTTTTGCTGGGGGTGGATTTGGTGAGTGATTGCTGCTGCTAAAGAGTTGAGTTTTAAATAGTAGTTGACAGTATTCAATTGGCTAAAGAAAGGATGACTGGAAGAAAGCAATGTCAGGACTTTTGATACTTATTAGACCAGACAGCTGCGATTCCTTCCTTGTCTACAACTACCATCACAAAAATAATTACCAAGCCTATTACTGGGGCTGAACCATCCTTCTCGACAATTCACTAGATGCTGTTGCTTTTTTAACTGTGAGGAACAGATGAGACCACAGAGAAAGTTGTACTAATTAGACACCCCCAACAGGCAGAGCAATTGTGAGGCTCCCAGGCTGGCAGGGAGCGGCACACTTGACCTTAAGTGGCAGTATTCCTTATTTTCCTCCTTAACAACCGTGATGAGGGAAATTACTGTTTGAGGCTGTGATCTTCTGACAAACACAGGCTGGAATTTCAGCAGCATTTGATCATCTAATTCCAGCAGATTCCTTTGGAAATCCCACTTCAGATTCTCAAGAGGTGGAAAGGCAATGTGAGGACCTAACGGGGAGAGATGCAAGTAGAAAAATCTAGAAGAGATTGAAGTGTGCCAGCTTCTTTGGGTAGGGGAGAGATAAAGCTTAGCACACATCTCTTCTGGCACAGCCAAGATGGGTATCCCAGGATCAGTCACTATTTAACACCCCATGAACCATAAACAAGCCACAACTTCTGCATGCCACATCAGCACGGGAGCCTTAATTAATGTCTTGGAGGGAAGGGGAGACCCAGAAAAGAGCAATACTGGTTAAGAACTGGCATTTCTCATGAGTAGCACAGAGCTCTGGTCACAGCCAGCTGAGCTGCTTTTCTACACAGTACATTCCACGTGTGTTTCCCACCTTGCACCGGGTGTAATCCCCCATTCTCCTCCTCCTCCAGCATCCACCGCAAGCTGCGAGACTCAGGAGTGAGACTGCAGGAGTGAGGCTCTGGACTGTAGGGAGCACTGCTGATCCAAGGCAGATGTATCTGCACAAATTCTGAATGAAGGCTGCCGGCTTTCCAAACAGTAAATGAAGTCATGCAGATAATCTTGCTTTGCATGCAGCTGTTATCAGGGCAATTCTCCCACTCCTTGAGCCTCAGAGCAGTCAGTGGGTGCTGCCACTGCTGGGAACAGATTAGAGCAGCCCTGGGTGTTCATTTCTACTCGGCAAAATTAATTTGCTGCAGCAGGTAAACACCCACCACTTTCCCTGATTCTTCCCATGTGCTCCACGCAATGACTTTGAGATGTGGAAAAGAACTTGTGCTTTCTCCTGGGAAGCTGCAGATCACATTAGCCAAGTCTCTGCTTTGCACTGGTTCTGTGTTCAGCACTGCTGAGACATCAAACAGGTGGAGAACTCAGCCACAAGCAGGATCACATGTCCCCAAGATCAAGCAATGGGACCAGCTGGATGTGAGGGCGGAAATTTTGGATTAATTGCTTTAGTCTTCTTACACAGCAACAGGGGAATTAACCTAAGTCTGGTCAATAACCAAGCCAGAGCACCTTTCTCACAGGTTTCTCTCTTTCCCATCCTAACTTACTGAGAACACTTCTTCCTCTTGTAAAGGAAGAAATTGTTTTCTTCTGGGATTTTTTCCTACCTGGGAGAAGTCTAGAGCTGTGCAATTTAAACATCTCAGTTTTGCAACCCCACTAATACTATTTTAAACATCAGTGAGCCAAACTGATGAGCTAGCTTGGAGAGAAAAATCATTCACTAAAATGAAAATTCAATATTTTTCAAGTGCTTTAAGAAGAGATTTATCCAGAGCATCAAATCATCCTAATACCTGATGCCAAAAGCCTCCAGGTGAGAGATGCAAACCCAACTCTTTAAATGGCTTTTGAAAACACACCTTGTCTGACCATCTTCCCCATCCCAAATGCTTTTAGGGCATCCTGAGAGCAACATCCAGTGGTTAGCAAAAACCCCCTGCAGCTTTCAGGTGAGAGACCCAGTCAGGACCCCAGCCCAGCCTGTAGGTACAGCTGCTGCAGAGGTTATCTGCAATAATCAGTCTCTGCCAACCAGATGCAATTTTACAGCTGCCAAGGACAACAGGCAGAATGCAGAAAGCATCAAGAATTCCCCTTTAAGAAGTTTCACATCATGAATTGCTGAGCTAAGCACCACAGGCCAAATTCCCAGGTGGCACAAGCAGGTGTAATGCCACTGGAGTCGGTGGAACCATGCCCAAGCAGATCAGCAGGATTTTGTCTCAAGAGCTACAAACAGCTCTGTGCAAAAGATCAGCTTCCTAAGTCCAGGGAATTACAAGTGCTCAGCTCCAGTGGTGAGAATAAAGTGGGCTCTGCACAGGGTTGACTGTGAAATGCAGAAACACAGCTAAAACACTCCAGCCAGGCAGGAGAGACAGAGAAACACCCAGAGCCTGCAGTGCCACAGCACAGCCCTTGCACAGAGCTGCCCGACCTTACAAGGGCTGTGCTTCAGCTGATAAAAATTACATTCAGCTGATAAAAATTATGCTCCTGGGTCCCCTCTTAAGTGACAATGACTTGCTGTTAGTCATGGTTTCCAGGCTGTATCTATCTGGGAAACTTCAATTTTCTTTCTTAGATTGCTTGGGTTTTTTTTCTGTGGCATTAACTGCTATCTAAGGCAGACCAAGCCCAGCAGCCACTTGATGGCTCTCAGCAAGAGAAGCTCCACTTGGAACTGCTTTCCCTGTTGTGGAGGCTGAGCTTTCACAAATCCTTAATTTCTGCCATGTGCTGGGTCTGTTAAGAAGATTCCCACCTCTGAAAGTGTCCAAGGCCAGGTTGGATGGAGCTCTGAGTGACCTGGGCTGTCCCTGCTCGTGGCAGGGGGCTGGAGTGAGATGAGACTTCAGGTTCCAACCCAAACCGTTCTTTGATGATCTTATGATGAGGGCATCCGTTCCCAGGTGAAATTTTACAGGCAGTTAAAACACAAGGGGGTGAAAACCACTTTTTGGGGCAAAGTCCATTTTCTGGGACTGCTGTAACACCAGAGAATTGAAGGGAAGGAGGGGAGTCAAAACTCTGGCATCTGATGCACACCTTCCAAAGAGCATTTCTGAGGCAGAGATGATGTCACCACGGCTCACCAGGCTCTCCCTGCTAGAGGTGAACCTTCCCCGTGGCCTGGGCTGAGCTCCAGCTCTCACATCCCATTGCAAACCCTATATTTCTTTTGACAAAGCACCGTGAACAGACCAATGCTGCAAATGGTGGCTGGACAAAATGAAAATATATCACAGAGCCTGATGACACCAGATTTCTGCTGCAGACTTACAGCTCTCCATCCACTCAGACTTCCTGCTGCCAGACTGTGCATTGAGATGGAGGAAAAATGCTTATAGTAAGACTTAATTTCTATGAGGTGACCAACTGAATGTAGCTTTATAGCCAAATGATGATTTCTAACAAGTCATTAGACTGAAAGTGTTTGAAAAAGATCCTGTAGCATAGAATCATAGTTTGACTCCACAGCTTGGACCAGGCTGGATTTGTAGGCCTGGAAGTTAGATAAAAGAAGTTTGATTTGACTTATAAAACTCAACAAGTGTGATCTGGAAGTCATTGATGGAGAATAAATGCAGAGCACTAAGATGTAGAACTTTTACAGGCTCACTTTTCAGGCAGTATGTGGAATTTAAACCAGCTGCTGTTCACCAGCATGTCTCCAGTGCCTAATTTTTAATCACGTAGAGGCAGCATGCCAAGTTTCCAGAATCTTTTTCCCAGAGCATCAATAGTGCTCATAACATCTCTGCCTACTGATGAGATCATGAAAAGACAGAACTATTGCTCTCACCTTTCTCTGTTTGGCTGAGCGTCCCTGGTACTGAAAATCTCTGCTAAGTATTGCCTCTCCAAACTCTGTTGTTCTTTAGTCCAACACAGATGTTATAAAATATAAACCTATTCCTTTGTAAACAATCATACCAAAGCAATCCAAACCAGTTTTCCAGGAACTGCAGTCTTTAGGTAACACAAAGCCTTACACACAGAATGAGCTGGGGATTAAAACACCTTTTGGAAGTGTTTTGCTGCACACTGGGTTAGGACCCCTCCAGAGCCACATCTGGGCTCAATCCCAGGCAAAGGGAGAGGGTCCAGCTGCAGGGGGTGACTCCCACCTCGCTGTGCCCCAGGAGGGAATGTGTGTGCAGGAGAAAAGGACGAAACACAGGGCCCCTGGAACTGCAGGAGGTCTGTGAGTCCTCCTGGGAGAGGTGAGGGCATCTAGGAGGAATCCATGAGACCAGTTTGGGAGGACTGATAGAGCTCAGAGTTCCAAGAAACTCTGGAGAGGGAAAGACAGAGGAAGGAGTTTCAGGAGCAGGAAAGCAGAGGAAGATGCTGGGTGCTGCCAGACACTCCTGCCACTGCCCAGACACAAAGGGAGAGGAGCAAGCTGCAAAATCCAGAGGAGGGAAATGTGAAAGCAAAGAAATTCAGAGCAGGTGGAACTCTGGAGGAAGGACTCCACTGCCCTTAGCGTAGCAGTTTGTGCCCTGGCAAATGAGGATCCTCATTTGGCAGTCTGAAATTCAGGAGAAGCAAGGATGGAGGCACAGAGCAGGGTTTGGCACAGGAAAAGGCCTCAGCTGTGCTGCTGGAGAGCCCCTGTGAGAGCAGGAGGCAGGGAGAGATGGCTTCAGCTACTGTCTTTTTGTCCAGAGCAGGAGGAAAGGAAGCTGTCCTTCCCCCAGGATGTCCTGTGGGATGGGGAGGTGAAAGCTCCTCTGACAAGCTCATACTTACTTTCAGTCCTGGGGGGCCAGGTGAGCCAGGGTTTCCATGGGGACCTGGAGGACCCTAAAACACACAACAAACACAAAACAGAGTCAGAAGGAGATGGGGGGAATCTGCATGAATCCTGGAGCAGCCAAAAGCCTCTGGCTGGGCTGTGCCAGACTTTAGCCCCAGAGCCCTGGGGTGCCCTGGCAGGGGATGGTGGCACCAGGACCCTCCTGGCACCCACGGAGGGAAACTCAGCTGTGGGTTCCCACCGGCCCCTGCGGAAGGGGATGTGTGTCTGTCACCACAGGACATGTCATGACACTGAGATAATTTGGGTAAACCAAACATTCCACAGGTCAGGGGAGTCCAAGCTCCAGCAGAAGGGGATGGAAGCAGGCAGAGGGGAGCGGAAGTGTGCGGGGGTGTTAACTACTTTTTTTTTTTTTTTTTTTTTTTTTTTTTTTTTGCTTAGAATTGAAGAGAACAGAAGTAATTACGAAAGGAAAATTGTTCAGTTCTTTGGGGTCAAGTCACTTTCCCTAAAAGCCAACCGGATTTTTGCCTTTAGAGGTTGGAAAGAAAATGGATAATCAGAGAGCAAAACAGTAGGAATAGCAGTAAGTCCCTGTAAACCCTTTAAACCCATATTTCACATAGTTAAATCTTTTTTTTTCCTTAGTTCTCACAAGCCAGTGACACTGTCAGAGTATCTACCTCAAATCACATACACCAGTATCTCATTTTACATCATATTTTAAAAGCACCCTGCATATTTTCCGAAGACTATTTAAGGAGTTATCTGGAATAAGCAGCTAAGAATAGTTTATGCCTGGATTATACACAGCACAGAAGATCTGCTAACCTTTCAGGCAGAGTAATAACAATTCTAAGTCCTCTTGAACACGTTCCTGGGAGATGAAACAACCTGAAAATTCAACTCAAGAATTCTGCCAAGAACGTGTGAGAGCTCTGCACTACCATGAGGAGGTCTTTATGTACCCACAGTACAGGGGAGTACAGGCAAGGGGATAAAAAACCACTCAGCATTCTGCAGGATTTTCAATGAACATTTTGGGGCCAAAATCTTCAGGGTCTGATTTCCGAGGAAAATCACTGCAGTTCAACATGCCACTGCCAACCAAGTTCAGTGCCCTTGCTGTCTTCCTAGAGAATATCAGTGCACTGATCTCTATTCAGTTTTATTTTTACTGTATTTTAATAGAAGATAATGCCTTTTTTAATTGCATCTTGTGGTACAGACAGTTGCTGAATGCTCAGTGATATTTTGCAACATGCTGCTCTTCTGCAAGAGGCTGCTTAATTAAAATATTGAGACTGAACTTTTCAAATGGCAGATTTTACCTAAATTAACATCCCATTCTTAAACTCATTCCAAATTTTCAGCCTGAACCCAAATACATTTATTGCCCCATTCTTAATTTCCTTAAAAATTTTCACCTGATATTCTCCTGTTTGGCCTGTCTGTGAATTTCCAGTGAAACTGAAAGAGCTTTAATTAAAATTAAGGTGCTTGAGTATCAGCTTCTCACTTGAAAACCCATACAGCTGCTCTAGCCAGAGCACCTGGACACTGAGCAAAATTCATCTTCCCAGCAAAACCTGTCCACCTTTTTGGGTGAAACACTGAAACGGAGACTGAATGTGCTGCTTAAGGTAATTCAATAAATCTGTGGTGGCAAAAGTGCTTCAGCTCAAGTCTTTCAAGTCTCAGATATGTAGGAAAATGAATAATAAGTGACACAAATCAGGCCAGCAAAGTCTCTATAAAAGATGAGTTCCTAAAAAGCTTTTGCACATAAGCAATAATCGAGGTAGCTCTGAACAGGGTTCATAAATCCAGCCTGCTGCTGGATTTGAGGAGGGAATTCAGCTGTAATTCAACTTTGGAGTGAGGCAGCTTGGCCCAAAGCCCACAGCAGTGCAGTCATTTGAAGTTTGTGCTCCACCACAGCCCAGGGCAAGCTTACAGCAGTGTCAGGCTGGAGGGAGCAGCTCGGTGTGGGGCGACTCCCAGATGAAAGTGATGGTTTCCAGGAGGAAACCTGGAACGTGGGAAGCTCAGCTGCCAATCCAGAGCCCTGGATAAGAGACTAATCACACACCCAGCAAAATCTGGTGCAGGTTCTTCCAGAGTAAACCCAAGCACAGCAACAAAATCCTAAAAAGCCTTAACCAGACGGAAGGGAGAAGGGAGGAAGAATCCAGTCACAGTTTCTAGTGATTAAAAGTGTGATTATGAAAACAGAGACTCTTGAGATAAAACAGAGTCTTCACCACCAAGTTCAGTGAGTCTGACAGAGTGCATCCAATGTAATCCAGGCAAAGGAGGGTCAGAGACTCATCCTGTCCCTGAAGACCCATGTGGTCTTATCCTGGTGATGAAATGATAGTGGGAAGTCCAGTCTGGCATGAAGGAAACTGCTGTGACCAGTTCTGGGGCTTGTGTTAGACATCTGAAACTGCTCTGGCAAGTGTGGAGAGAAAAGGGTGTTGTCTGCCAGCAGTCCAAAAAATTGTAAAAAATAATTGATCCTGATGTGTTCCAACATGGTGAGTCCTGAATCTGGGATTCCACCCACATTCTTGGCAGAGGAGGACGATGCTGTGTGGTACAGCTAGATGGGCTGAGTAACAAAAAGCACAGGATAGCAGCTGCCTCAGGAGCTGTCAGCAACAGCTAATTGCTATATTGGATTAATTCAATTTACCACTCCCACCTAGAAATTTGGATTCTCCCAAATATATTTATCATCAATACATTGGTTTTGCTCCTCTTATCTACACCCAGGGTAGGACAATGCTGAGACCACTAAATGAAAAAATCCCAGTGCATGTGTCACTATTTGCTCTGGTGCTCATTTCCCCACCTTTTGCTTTCCTATATCTTCTGGAGCAATCCAATCTAGCAGCAGGCAGACTTGCATCTCTGAAACCTTCCAAGCCTTGTACCCCATGGAAAATTTTACCATGGGACAGCAGCAGCCCGAGGCTGCCCCGTGGCACGGAGACAGAACAATCCCTGAATGTGTTCTCCAAGTGAGGAGGGGTTTCCCCTCTCCCTGGAATGCCTTCTGCATGAACGATGCTACTTGAGAAGGACACTGAGCCACCCAGTTCAGCTCGGGGATGCCTGGAGATGGGACCCTGCTCACAGAAGCGCTTTTATGCCTGGTGGTTCACAGCCCACAAAAATTAACAAAAGTATAACTGTGCATTTTCCCCCCACAACCCTCTAGCATTCACAGAGAAGGGGGAAAAAAATCCTCCCAGCTCCTGCTAAATGCTAGAGAGCTCCAGTCAGAGGAATGACCGCTCATTTGAAACTCATTATGTCTTGGGGTTTCACTGAGTAAAGCAACTTTGCTTCTGACCTACAGATCCCACTGTGACCTCTGGCTTGCTGAAAAAGAGCTAAATATTTGAAATGAAGCCAAACAAACTGTTTCTTTAAACACTTTTCAGAAATTGGAAAATCTTCCTAATGGCATGAGGATACTGGGGAATCTCCACAGCTGACTGAGCTGCTTGTTTCAGGAGGGAAGCCCTGCATATTGAAGGAAAGGGAGATTTTTTCCAACCACAGACCAAATGTAACAGGGACATGTTACACTGGGACCTCCCAGTCTTTCAAGTTGCTGTGGTTCACAGGAGGATGGCAAGTGCATCCTGAAGCATCAGGGAGTACACATGTGTATTCCCTTCACCCATCCATTTGGATTTCCCCCCTGGTGTCTCAGAGTTTATTCAAACCAAGAGCAATTCCAGCATGTCAGGCTTGTTATTGATGGTCCTGCCTCTGACATGTTCTGTGGATGAAACTCTTCTTGTAGCTGTGTCTGCTCACCTGCCAGAGGAGTGACTTCCAGTGGGACCTGGCTTCCACAATTATTTCAGTGTTTTGGAAAATTTGACTGTTGCTCTTTTCTTGCTGTCCTGAGGGCTGAGCAAACAACCAAGGCCAGGTTGTTCAGGGCTTGGAGCAGCCTGGTCTAGTGGAAGGTTCCCTGCCCATGGTGTCAGTTTGGAACAAGATGAGTTTTAAGATCCCTTTCAACCCAAAACCATCCCATGAACTGGACTCCTGTCTGGCATGTACCTGAGACTTGCTGTTTCCTTCATGCAGAGGCAAAACAGGTGACTGGATTTTTGCACAGCCTCATCTGGAAGGCAGAGTTTAAGTGTCACTCCTCACAGCACTTTTCTGCAGCCCTGCACAAGCTGTGGGTACTTTGCTGGTCAAACTACACCAGGGGAATGAGCCACAATTGGTGGTGGCTGCAGATGTGCAGCCCCTCATGCAGGCAGCACTGGGTGAAGCTCACAGAGCCTGGGCTGAGGCAGGAACAAGCTACAGTGGTGAAGGAATTATTGCTCCAGTGAGAGCCCTTTGTTGACAGCTCCTTGCAGAGCTTGTTGGCACATCCCTGAGAGCAAATCCCAGACTCTGCCTCCCTGGGAGACCCTGATGCTTGAAGAAATGCAAAGGTCAGAAAGAAAAGCTCAATACACACGGCTTGCACAGAATTGGGGGTGTCACCCTGTGCACCCCCAGTGCCACCACTCACGCTTTGCACCACGGAAAAGCCATCCCATGAGCTGCCTGCCATTTCACATCATATAAAGCTGGGGAAATCCTTCCTTGCTCCCTTAGGTCTTACACAGACACTTGTTCAGGCACACAGCACATTTATGCAAGAACAAACTGTGTGGACAGATCTCTTCTTATGTCTCAAACTCTTTAATGCAGACATGAAAGCTGAAAACCATCCTAACGATATGGACAGAGAAACCCTTCCATCTACAGCACTATTTCTAGAGGTTGGAGAGCTCCTGAGATAGTGTTATTAGCCATTCCTATTGCAATTTTAAACTCATTTCTCTTGAAGTCCCTCAGGAAATAATGAGAAGAAGAAACACCCAGTTTTCACTTGTTATGAAAATTTGCTTTCATAGCTGCAGAGAGCAGAGCACAGGAATAGCCTGAATCTGTCTCAGTTGGCCCCTGCTGCTGGAGTGACAGGGTGTACAACAAATTCCATGCTCCTGGAATGGGGACTGGCTTTTAAAAATGGAGAAATTGTAATTTTCAACAAGACTACCATACTATCCACACTGCTACCCTGCCTTGAATTGCCTCTGATTGCTCTTGAATGTTGAGATATGTCCTAATCAGAGCCTCTCCCATGCTGTTACGGAGTCTGGGATGTGTTTTTGCAAAGCAGGTGGCATTGCCACCCTCAGACTACACAGGCAGGTCTGGTGATACCCATCTGCTGAAAACCAGATCCATGGGAACAAACAGATTTCCTTACAAACTCTCACCCACCACAGTCTCACTCTCAAGGCAAAGGCTAATCAGAGATTTCATTTTCATCCTGACCAATACAGGAGGAACAAAGGGAGGAGACAATAGGGGGTGGAAATTCTGCACTACACATCAACATGAGGCAACTTCACAGCTACAGAAAGCCACAAATCAAATGCTGATACTGGATTTTCAAATGTGTCAGGCAACTGTTATAAACATTAATAACATAGAAATTACACAAGTTACAACAAGGGCAATTAATTTCATGCATAAATTGCACCGGTGATAAAAAGACCCTTCCTTTCCTCTGCATCCAGCACTGCAAAGTTGCCTGCAATGCCCACCTCTCCTCTGGAGCTCCAAACTTGGGCTGTAGCCTGATGGGACACCTCATGGCTTATCCATGGGCTGGTGCAAGAACTCTGCAGCTGCTTTTTTTGGAGGATCAGGTTAAGAGAGGTAGAACATGACCCCTGAAATCTTGCACATTTATTTTTAAGTTTTTCAAGCACAGCAAAAGATGCAAGAAGTCCCCTAAGCCTGTCTTAGTTCCTGGCAGCTCCACTTTCCAATGAAATCCATAAACCCCAAAGAGACACAAGAAAAAATTACCAGAAGAAACACATCCCAAAGTCAAAACAATTTAGGCACAGAGAAGTCCTGTCTCCAGTGCTCCAGGCCAGACATTCATAGAGTGACCCTTCTGCCCCCTCCCAAAATTAGCACAGCCTCTTTGCAGAGGTCTGAGCCAAGCCAGGCTCAGCTGTGCTGAGCACTTCCTAACTGGGAACTCTTTCCTGGACCAATTCTCAGCACCTCTGGCAGGGATTGAGCTCAGAAACCCTCTATTGCTTATTGTCTTTCAGAGGAGTATCTTAAATATAGGATGGAGCATGCCACAGCTGGGGAATAACAGACAATTGTGACACAGCTTCCATGATGCTATTTCCTTCAGAAGAAACTCAGGTGGAATGGGGATGTAGAGCTGAAATTTGGCCACTCATACAGCAGACAGGGGATGAAGCTGGGGATTCCAGACCTGGAGTTTAGCTTGCAAACCACAGGATTGCCAGAAGTAACACCAAACACCCCTCAAAAGCAATGAGCTGGGGTAGGAACCAATTTCCAGCTTTAATGGAGATGCCAAGAAATGGCAGCTCCGGGCAATCTACTGATGTGGGAGCAGCTTGGGCACTTGTGACAGAAGGTATCAGGGCTGATGCTTCACTAAAAAACTTCTCTAAAATGGAACAGTTTGTCCCATCCATAAACAAGAGCCTGGTGCTGCCTAACCCCGCTCACTGACAGCCCAAATCAGCTTTCAGGGCTGTTCACACAGGCCCAGGCTCCAGGGGTGCTGCAGACCTGCATTTTCCTGTTGGAGAAAGGAGCTGAGTTGATTTTTGCTGGTTACTGTCAGATCTCACAGGAGTGTAACAAGTGTCCTGGGGGAATGCCGAGCCTCCCAGCTCTCAGCCTCTTGCTTGTTCTTTAAAGACATTACACGGGGGTTGAGTTTTAGCCAAGCATGTGTGAGGAAATCTCCCTCTGCTGCCAGGCCAGGATGCTGCCTGGATCACAGCTCCAAATATTCCCTTCTTCCAGCCTCAGAGGCTCACACCTTTGGATTCCCAGCCCACACCAGTGCAGGGCTGAGGGAAGGGGCTCCATGGCTGTACCCTGTGGGACAGCACTGGAAAAGAGCAGTGTGCTCCCAGGAAAAGAGCAGTGTGCTGCCAGGAGAACAGTGCCAGCACTTCGCTGTATCCAGGTCAGGCACACTGCCCAGCCCTGGGAGAGCTAGGCCAGCGCAGAAGGCTTTTCTCACAGCTAGCTGCAGCACTCAGCTCCAGATGTTTCCTCAGCACAGCACTCAGTGTTCAAAGATCTGCATCAGAATTTCATTTGGGGAGGAAGAAGTTCTGCGAGAGCCATTGCGAATTCCTGAGCAGATAAGGCATTCTGCTTCAGAGCTTGATAAGGAGTCAGAGTGCAGGTCTCAGTCAAAAAACCTCATTTCTGTGTGTGTCGTGTCCTTGGTCCTGGACCATGGTCACACTGATGAAGGACCTTGAACTAAACAATTTGTCAAGCTGGGGAGAGCGAAGGGGAGTACAAAAAGCAGCCAAAGCTAATATTCAGCAGTGGGTTTGCAAGAAGGAACAGATACTGGAAACAAAACGAGACAGACAGATCTCATTCTTCTGACAGCCATTTGGAAACATCCACCCCCAGCCCTTGCCAATGACAAACCTTAGCTCAGGGAGGCTGCAAATCACCAATGTGGCCTCCTGAAAACCTCCAACAGGGTATGAGAGAGAAGCAGACCAGATCTCAACAGAGAGGGGCCTGAAGAAACCATTACTCAGCCACAGGAACTACAACAGCCCTTGGAACCACGGGACAGGCAAATTCAAACACAAATACAAATGGATGGAAGTTTTAAAAGCACTTACTCGAGAACCTCTCTTGCCAGGGGGTCCTGGTAAGCCTGGCAGACCTGGTGGGCCCTAGAAAAACAAAAACAGGTTTTAGTGATGGTTCTGTAACAGGATGGTGCTCATCAGTGCTTCACAGAGACTCATAACACAATCATTCAGAGAACACATGGGGAGAAGGACCAATCACAGCACCACAGCCAAAATCTCCCTTCAACTTATGCTATTACTAAAAAGGGATAAAAAGCCACACACAAAAACATCTGCAGGAGCACGTATTTCCACAGAGTAGAGACAGAGCATCCCCATCTTTCTGCTGCAGCCTGCATTCCCAGGATCACAGCTGTGTCTCGTGCTTCCCCTCTCCTGGGCCTGTGCTGGATCACAGGGGTAACACAACTCTCCCAGCTTTGGGTTTTCCTGCTCTGTGTTAGCACCTTGGCAAGGGAAGCACTCTGTGTGTTCTAATCTCTATCAGCTGGACACGTGCAGCTCTTGGTATTGGAGGTTCCTACATGAGTTACAACATAATCTGTGATTATGTGTAACCCCAGCACTTCATATTTTAGAGCAGCAAGTTATGAAATGTAATAAAATTGGTGTCAATGCTGGAAATTCTTAAATATGGTTCTGTAGCAAAGGAAAGGTCGAGTAATACATGTCAGAGAAGTGGGGGCTCTTGGAAGAGGTAGGAACGAAGTGGAGATATTAGGAGCCCAGCTGTGCACTGATCTGAAACAGGTTAGGAAAAAATACTTAACCAATGAGGTTTGAACTCCTTTGAATTTGTTCATCTATTTATTCTTTTTTTTTCAATGGGCTGGAGAATCCAGATTTCTGAAGAGCCATCTGCAACTCCTAGTAACTCCTCAAAACTTCTTTTTCCCCAAGCCAAACATGTCTGACAAGAATAACTGTTAATTAAAGCGTCTCCCAGAGGATTTATATTCTGGTAGCTTGCTACAAAAGACAAGTTTCCACTGCATTCAGTGGAGAGACACATCCAGAGCAGCCGGCTGAAGGCTCTTTGGAAGGCAGCCTGAGCTCTCTGACTGCATGGCAGGTGGGACAGCAGGTCCAGGAGCAACATTCCACAGGGGTGAAGGTGCAGTGCATGGAGCAGACGCAGGATGAGCCCCATGGCCACATCCTGGCCTTGCTCCCTTCCCACTGGGCCATCCATCCCTGTGGGATCTCCTCCCTGCACGAAGCCACCGCCAGGCTGGTCCTGCTGCTCATTGCTGCCCATCAGCAGGAGCAAAAAAGCTCATGATATCTACTGCAGCTCCCAGGAGTCATCAAGGGCATGATTCAGTAAGAAAAAAAATCAACCCAGGAGATCCCTGCTCTAAATCTCATTCCTTTTTCTCAGGAAAAGATTTTGGAAAGAGAAAGCTTGCCTGAACCATACAGGTAACTGATGGATAAGTACTCCCCTGATATTTTACACCAACCCTCACCTAAAGCTGCACATTAAATTGTATAAAAGTGATTTATTTTAAGAGCCAAACTTGGCACAGTAGAAAATAAAAAGTCAAGGAAGGCATAAGCAAAGCACAGAGTCCTCTGCCCTATTAATTTATCAGCACAACAAAAAAAAAGGTAAATATAACAAGAAAAGACCTGTTTTAATAGAGCCTACACAGCACAGAAGAGCTAATGTCCCTCCCTGTGACACACAGGGATGGACTTCTGTCACCATATGAGCCACTGCTGCTGCCCAGCCCTGCCTGCCCTGTCCATAGCGTGGGACACTTCATCTGACCCCTCTGCCAGCTGCTTACTGCTGGCTAACACAGTATTACTGCTCTTTGTATTAACAACCCTCATTGATACAGCTGACCCTCATTTTAGCAATATCCCAGTGTTTTAACCTGCCATTGTGCCAGCTCAGGGCCCCGTGCATAATGTAATTATACAGCTGTGCAAAGAGACACGTAATTGTAGGGGTTTTTAAAGCCTCGTGTATAATTGTGTTCCAGAATCACAGCTTTTATTAAAAATATCCCTCTGCCCTCTTAGTTGGGATGATAACTATCAAACTACGAATCCAGTGCAACTGAGGCAGCAATGGTTTTAATAGGGTTTATCAGAGATTAATCCAAGTCCTTAATCTCTCCTCCACCAAAACCCATCCCCATTTACACCCTTAGAAGAAGTAAAAGAGGAGATGCAACTGTCTGAGCACGGTGTTCCCCGTGTACCAGAACTGAGGTGACCTTTTCCACCTTCCTGCTAACAGCAGCTGCAATTGTACTTGGCCACTTGAGCAAAAACCTTCTCCAAAAATGTGTGCTGCTCAGAACAGACTGAAGCTAACACAAAAATAAGGAGAGAGTTAATACCAGCAGTGGGAATACAGAGTTGAGAGAAAGGCTTCTAGCTGGAAAAGCACAGAGCAGTGCACAATTCAGGAGGCCCCGCCACTGTGCTTGGATTTGTCATCCCTTCAGACTTATTTTTGCCTTTCCTCAGGAGTTAGAGGGTAAGGTGACAGTGGGATGACTGGCTAAAAGGTGCCAGCCACTAATGAACTGCAGAAGGTAAGAATGTTTAGAATTTAGAGCACTTCTAAATTTGAAGCCAAGGTGGAAGAGGGCTGGGGCAGTGGATGGACACAGTGAGAAGTGACACAGCGTGAGGCCACTTTGTACTTCTCCCGTTTCCCAGTTCCTTGGTGGCTGGGTTGGATGGGACATGGACTGTGCCTTCCCAGTGACTCATTTCCCCTCTGCCTCAGCATCACCCAGCCCACGTTCTCAAGCAAGAGCCCCACATCCACAAGTGGCTTTGCCTGGGGAGAGCAATGCTGAGATACACTCGGGGAAAACGTGCATCCGGAGAGGCAGCCAGAGGAGAATGGGCCTGGATCGGGGCCCAGCTGCTCACAAATGATGGATGCAGTCCTGCTCCAGCACAGGGCTCCACAGGGAGAGCAGGAGATGTCTGTCAGCGAGGTGCCCCCACAGCCCCTGCCCTCACCAGAGACACCTCCACCCCCAGCTCAGGCCACACAGCCTGCAGCGACCTCTCCTCTGTCCCTTCAGGGCAGCCCTGGAGAATTCCCTCAGGAGCAGAGGGCAGTGCTCCAAGGGGCAGGAAGATTTCCTGCTGCTGGCAGGGGTGAGGACAGCAGTGCTGTGCCCCTGCCCTTCCATTGCAGGGACAGCAAAGCTGAGGCCTCCTGTGGCGAGCGACTGCTCCTGGCACCGCGGCTCTTGTCTCTTTGTCTCCCTGGCTCCTTGCCCGCTCCTCCTGCAAACTGATGGCAGAGAACACCCACCCTGTTATCACACAAAGCAAGATCACAGATCAAGGAGAAACTCGGCAGCAGCAGATACTCTCTCTTCTGAAGCCAAACAGCTGAGCTGTTAACCAGCCCGAGCAGCTCCTGAAGCAGCTCATGGCAGCCACAATAAAGTTTAACCCTTCTCAGTTTCCCACGGTAGCATTAGCAATGATGACCGATCCCACCAGATGATTACAGGATTTATTCTAAGCTGCTGCTGGGAAACTTTCTGGTGCAAAAGGGATTTTTTTTTTTTTTTTTATTTTTTATTTTTTTAAATCTCAGCTCTCTGAGCTTCAAATTGCAAATGGAAAATCAAACGAACTTGTCTGAAAGGAAAATACATTGGAGCCTGAGGATAAGGGAAATCTTGCCATTTCCTCTTGCTGCTAATTTATACCTCTGCCTCTCCCACACTGTGACCCCCCTCACACTGCTTCCTCTGCCCACAGCAGTGCTGCAGGGAGCAAGGTGCCTTCTGAGCTCCAAACTCAGCAAGGCCAAACCTGCTGTGGAAGACTTGTATTAAAACACACCGAGTACAGGAATTGGTGCTGGAAATTGGGAAATGACTCCTGAATCAACTTGGTCAGATAGGAAAGGATTCCTGTAATTGTTTCCCCAGGGGTGAGTACTCAGCCTGGCAGCAAAGAGATGAGACTTCCCAGGAAATTATTGAACTCATATTCTAGTGCATATTGACAGATGGACATATCTACTTTAGGGTCTTCCCAAGGTATTTCTGCCCAGCCACTAGTGGCACAGTTCTCCTGTGTCCCAGAAAAGTATTTCAGAGTGCAAAACACTGCTAGGACTGAGGACAGAAGAGAGATCATTCTTCTTTCTCAGGTGCTAATGCCTCTGGTAAAAATCAACTTAAAAAGGAGTTCAGAAAACACATCAAAAGCTTCTCCCCACATTGACACCAAGTTCTGAGCAGTGAGTGACATTCCCCCTGCAGATAAAGGACCTGAACTGTTTTCTTCCAAGAAGAAAAGAAATATTCCTACAGGAAAAATGGCCACTGCCACAAATCTACCCCTTTAGCCTTGTATATCTGGGAAGCACCAGCAAGGAAGGACTGAACAGCTACAGGGACAGCACTGGAATTCAAAATTCCCTGCTTGGGAGAATAGAAGGAGAAAAAACCCTCATCTTCAACAGCCTGCCAACCTCTCGTCACCTTCCCATCATTGCCAGGCACTGCACGGCTTCAAAACCTGCCTAAAACAAAGCTAGAATTTTAGGGGGGAAAAAGCCCCCAGCACTTTGGTTGCTTTCTCCTCCAAGGCAGGCTTATCGTATTAAAATTTGGACACGTCTGGGTTTCAACCAGTCTAAAAACAAAAGGCCCTCATAATTCTGGCAGGAGCTGAGCTGCTGGTGGAGAGCCAGCCTTGTAACACAATTTCCTCGCTAGGCACAGATGTTTGCTCTGGGTCTGTGTGATACCTATCACACAAAGGTCCTTGTCCACAACTGGGTTCCTCACAGAGAAGCAGCACAATACATAACAAAATATGAATGTTCTAGCTTGATGGAAGCCACTTTTCTACGAAGACATTTCAGGAACAGGCTCTGCAGGGGGTGCTTTGGATGCTGGAGCAATCCCAGACCTTGGAAGGCAGCCTGAAAGGCTGGGAAGGAATAGAGGGATCACCTACTCTACTACTCACTTTCTATTTTTAAAAATTTATAAAAATACTTGTATATATTTGTACAATCCTAGATCCTTTGCAGCACATTTATCTTGAACACACTATCAGCTATCTCTCTTCAAAATTAACTTTATTTTACACAAATAGACCTCTCTGATGCTTGGTCATTTGCCTGCAAAATTTCCCTTCAGGGATATTTCTGGTTAAATTACCAAAACAATTCGATCCAATTATGTGAGCAAGGATAAAACTTTCCCCATGCATTATACAAAGCATGCAGTCTCCCCTTTTTTTATTATTAATATGACTCACTCATTAATAGATATTCAAACACGTTGTGTGTTCCTTAATTCATCATGGACTGGCAGCTCAAATAGCCTTTTGTGGTGTGAGGAGGACTGGAAATAGGCACTTCATATGTTTTATCGGTGTTTCCAGTCACCTCTCTTCCCTGCCCACTGATTGAATTGGCTGGGATTGCTTCTTTGGGGAAGGAGCTGGGCTCCAAGACAAACTGCTCGTGCGGAGGATGGCAGCTGGAGCAGTCTAGACTGGGGACGCGCCTGGAAGCACATGTGCCTTGCAGAGAGGAGGGAGAGGGAGCTGCCTGGCAGGCACCACCACTGCCTCCAACTTGGGGCTGCTGGCCCTGGCCATGTGGATGGAGCTCAGGGACCCCCCATCCTCTGAATGGGATGTTGGGGGTGTCCTTGACACACACTCCCTGCTCCTCTTATGTTACTCAGTGCTTCCACAGCCTTTAGTGATCCCTCTGCCTGCACGTTCAGCATAAGGGGTGGTTTTCTTGCTCTAAAAATAATCCTTAGACTTGTCGAGAGGCTTGGCTGTAGGGGCTATAAAGCTATGGAATTGCAGCTTTATATAGGAAGAGAAAGGTCTGGCTTAGGGTATGCTGTGCTAGACCTCAGCCATGCCAGGGAAAGGGGTTTAGCACAGCTTTACCTGGCAGATGGTTCTGGTGGGCAGGGGAGAGGCTACAGTAGCACCCCAAAATCTCCCTGCCAAACCTGCTGCTGGTTTGACAAGCAAATGACACCCCATCCACTGGGGGATTCAAACACCCATCACATCACAGCCTTAGTTCAGGAGTTCAACATGCTCACAACACATGCTATTTTTCAGTATGCATTTTTCTTTTCAGGGAGGTTTTAGGCTACATCCAGCCATGTGCTGGGGTCATGCTGCAGGGCCTGGAGCTCTGGAGCAAGGCTGGTTGAGATGCTTTGGGCAGTGGGGATGATTCAGAGGGACTTTTGCCAGCTGCTGAGTCAGTGCTGCATTACTGACTTCGCACGATATCTGGGTGTCCTTTTGTTATTTCTTCCCTCTGAAAAAACCATAGAGCTGAGATCCCAAATGCTTGTGGTTATTAATGGCTCCCAAGAAGTTTTTCTTTTTTAAGAACATATTGCCCTCCTCTCCCCTAGCAGCTCAGCAAACCCAACACTCCTGAAGAATTAATGCTCTGCCAGGAGTTGCATGTGGGATGCAGCATCTCCGTTTCCTTTTGCACAGCATCCAGGTGGTCCTTCAGGACTGATTAATACATGAAGGGTGCTGAATTTTATTCCTAAATAAATCCTTTCAGTCCTTTGCTCACACTCCTCTAACCATCAAACCCTCCCTCTATTGTTGGATGGGGCTTTTCTGCACAGCTAAGATTATTCTATTGGTTATTTTAGTAGAATTCACAAAGCCTGAAATGCAGACACCACAAAGCCTGAGTCATCACTGCCTTGCTCCATGGCTGCCACTGGGATGATCAGGATGAACAATAATCCTTTCTCTCTAGGTGGAAGGGTTCTGTGGCTGCCAGTCTGCCCAGAAATCACAGCCAAGGTGGCCCCAATCCTTGCTGAACAGGCAGAAGGCAGTTCCACCCCGCCACCTCCCTGCCCAGGCTGACAATCTTCTTGAAGAGACCTTGTATCAGGAAGCAACTGGAAAACCTAATTAATCACCTTATCCTTCCCTCGGTGTGCCAGACAGCAGATGACATTCCCAGCCCACAGGCTGCCCTGGCCAGGCCGGGCTGGGATATCACTGACCTCATCAGGAACGCCTGCCCGGCAGCACGAGCGTGGCGCCAGGTAATTACTCAAGCACAGAACATTTATCAGCACTTGCTCTGAAACATGCTCATCTGGCCATGGACGTGCTGCATTAATTTCTCAACATGTCATCCCCATTCCAATCTTTCCTCCTCTTTCCCTTCCCACGTCAGAGACATCCAAGGAAGCGTGGTACAGAGATCTGGGAGTGAGTCACAGAGCTGCTGAGCACCGTGTGGCAGCCAGCTCCAGCCAAGCCATAACCTTTCCCTCCCCAAGCCCTGATTTTGTTTCCAGCAGTCAAAGAGAATAAGGCCAGACAGAGCCTCAGAAAGTTCTCCTTTCCCTCAGTTCAGGACTCCAGTTGTTCTCAGACAGGATGGAAAAATCCTGCCATCTCTTCCCTCAGCCCTCCACAGCCTGAATCCATTTCTTTGCTATGATTCACAAGCTTGAGAGAGATTTTCCACTCCAGTTCAATAATAAGCTCTTTACATTGCAGGGGCTTAGAGCTTGGTCACCCTCATGACACGTGAAGAGCAAGAAGGTGGCAGAGGTCAGGATTTTGGTGGGCTTGCAGCAGGCACCCAGATTCACCCCTTAAAGCTAAGTGATGTTTGAAGGGAAACACACAACTGCTGAATTTCTTCTCTTGGAAATATACCTGAAATTACTCTCCACAAAACACAGAAGCCTGCTCAAAGTTCAAACTGCTGGAGCTTTTCTGTCTACTCAGGGATTTAGCAGAACTTCTCCAGGCACCAAGACTCCATCAGGGACAGGTGCCTGCAGCCCATGCTCAACCCCTGCCCAGGCACCACCTTCACCTCTCCCAGGGACAGGATCCTGGGAACAGAACACCACCCTGGGCGATTCCACACCCAAAGAACAGGAGAGAAATCACCACCCAGCTTTGAGATGGGACAGGAGGAAACACAAACTGCTAAGCTCCCATTGAGGACTTGGGGACACCCAACCATTCTGGCTTTAGGTGTTACTTGCACCACGGAGCAGCTCTGCAGGGACAAGTGCTGGTCATGCCTTACGCCAGCCTCAATATTTCCACTGTAAACTCTTCTTCCACTATTTTAAGAAGTCAGCTGTAAAAATTCCCTCCAGGCTGGATCTTGGCAACCAAAGGCTCTGTCTGGGAGAAACTTATTTTACATGTACAACCCCTCTCTGCTATTGACAGTTTGGTTTGGAACACCAAATCCCCCTAAAAGTTGGCCAGTTTAAAGATCATGTTTTCATTCTCAAATCTGGAAAAAAAAAGAAAAAAAAGAACAGCTAGCAGATAATTAGTGGGGCCTGAGTGCTTTTAGCATTACAAAACGTGTGTACGCTTCTACAATGGCCAATATACACAACCTGAAAGGGGGTATTTTTTATGTGGAATGCAGTAGTTAAATTTATAAAGGAAACTTTCTGCATGTTTTAAGTGCAGAGTATGAGAAATAAAAAACAGAACAAAACACCCAAGCAGAACTTATACCATAAAAACAGATGAGACTTTGTTTAAAAAAATAAATACTGAAGCCATCTCTTCACTTGCATTTGCTGGAACAGGGCATTTTCTTGATTTGTGAATATCAGATCAAAACAAATTAATAACTAGTGCCAAGAAATAGTTAACTTGAGGCACGTTTTTAAGGCATTTGGCTTTTCTATGGAAGATAAACCAAGGGTGTAGAAGGTAGCCCCAACCTGGCCATTAAAATTTTAGCCAGCAATTTAAAGGAAAAGAAAATGGGATTTCTTTTTTTTTTTTTTTAGAGCTAACATTAAGCAGCAGCTTTAACCACAAATGTTTCATGACATCCACCATCACTGAACACTCGGGTTCAAACTGAGATTTATGCTAAAATTGTGATGATCAGGAATGCAGCACTGCTTGGCTGCCACACTTGGAGAAGCTTCACAGAAACCCTTGGAGGCTGTGATCTGCCAGCCCTTGAGCCGAGCTGTGACGGGGAACAGCCACCATGAGGAGCCTGAACATACCTGGGGTCCTCTCTCTCCTTTCACTCCTGGATATCCCAGTACAAATGGAAACGGAGTGGGTCCCAAGGGGTCAAAGATTTGATAGCCATCGGTGGCAGCCGGGGTTGTGAGGTTGAAGGCCTGTGCCCTGGCTCTGGAGGCAGGCCGGGCAGACCCCAGGGGTGGCTTGGTGTACACCAGAGGGATGCTACTGGGATCCACTCTCCTGGTGGGGGACGGCACGTGCTTCTTTGGGATGGGCCCACGGCTTGGGTTTTGCTTTAGGGTAACAAGGTGGACATTGCTCGTTGTGTTATCAGTCACCCTCCTCGTTGGCTTTACAGTGCTGGGCACTTCAGGGGGCTCCACGGTTGGTTTTTGGTTGATCTTCTTTTTGGTCTCATGCTTGGACTCCTTCCTGCTGGCCGTGACCAGGCTCTGGCTCGTTGGTGGGGCCCTTCTGGCAGTGGGAAGGGGAGTTTTCTCCCTGTGTGTGCTGGGAGTGGGCTGAGCCGCCCTGAGGGCTGTCCCTGTGCCCCGAGGGAGAGGGCACAGGGTGGGTACCTGTGATTTGGTACTCGACGGAACAGGCGGGGCCACTGTCACCTTGGTGGCCTTGGTAGTCAGTCTCGGCCGTGATGGTGGGGTTGATAGCAACGTGATGGTTGTTGCACCTGAACCCCTCGTCTTGAGGGGTGCAGTGACCCTGCCAAACTCCACGTTTGGGGCAGCAGTGGTCAGGTTTTTCAGACCCTGCAGCGAGGGCTCTGTATGCTGTGGGGTGCTGGGGGAGGCACTGGGGTCCCTGGGCAGGAGGGGGATGAGTGGGGGCAAGTTTGGCCGGTAGGTATCTGCCTGCCTGCACTGTTTTTTCAGGTATTTACAGTAATGATGAGCTGCCTTGGCGGAAGGATAAATATCAAACTGGCAGATGGCTCCTTCGAACTGCACGGAGTGCTGGCTTATCTTCCCAAAGAGGAAAGATCCGTGTGGATCCAACGCCTCGTCCTTTTTAAAATGCAAATCCGCATGTACTCTGCGCTTCCCACAAGAAGTAAATAAAGTGACTGTCTGGCCACGAATGTTGATGGCCATATTGTGCCACTGGCCATCGTGGACATTGTAATCAAAATATACAGAGCGCTTGTGGCCCACATACACGATGATCTTCCCAGGCACAAACTGGACCCCCAGCTGCAGTTTTTTCTTTTTGCTCCTGACAGCAAAGAGAAAAGCGTTGTTGATGCGGTGGGAGCAGAGGCTCAGCACCAGCAGCAGGTCAGAGGTGGAGCCTGCGGGAAGGAGGGTGCTGAGCGGCGCTTCGACACGGGCTCGCTGAGTGAAGATGACCCCTGATTTGAAAGGAATGACTCCTTGAGGAACTGCACGTGAGGAGGACCATCCACTCGATGGCCTTTTCCCTGACAGGCCCAGTCTCTGAAGAACATCCACATCTGAAAGGGAATCACAAAGATTATGTCAGGTGCTGGGCGACCCCAGGGCTAGATAGGTGTGGAGGGAAATCAAACCAATCCAGGCACAAAGGTAACAGGATACAGGAAGTCCCAACTCACATATCTAATCCCACCCTCTCATGTATTTATTCCCATAGCCAGCACAGAGAACTCACAGCTCTTCTCACATCGTGTGAGGAGCAAGTGCATGCTCAACGTGATTACTAGCAATTGCCAAAATGCATCAGCTCCATGGTGTATCTGGTGAGTTCTCCTGTCCCACCAGGGACCAGCTCAGATGTTCTGGAGGGAGCTGACCTCACTACAAGGAAATTTCCCACTGAGCACCACTAGTCCTCTTCCTGGGATTTAATTCTGAGTACTGACCACATAGCTGGAAAGGAATTCGAACAGATTGAGCTGGGATTGCAAAATTTTATATCCCCAGAGGGCAAGTAACAAAACTTCCAAAGGGAGCAAAAGATCTGTCTCTGTCTTTCTCCAAGCTAGCAAGCAGCAGCTTTTGATCTTTGGAGAGTTTAGGAAATCGCAGGTGCCTCCCAGCACGAAAAAACTGCACCTAGATTTCAGTGAACTGCTCAAGGCTCTCAGCAGTAGTACTTTTTTTCCCAGCAGATCATCTTACAGCATTAAATTATTTTAATAGTTTGGAACCAGACTTGGTTTGTGAAGAGCTTAGAAATTGGTTATGGTGGCCACTGAGTAGTGGAGGTTAAGCCTTGTCTCCTGTATAATGTCACTTAGGAGCCAGGTGCTCAGGACTGGAGGAAAGAGACTGAGACCCAGAGGACCTTTCTCCCCCAACTCCAGGAGGAATTTGCAATGGACAGAATCCCCTGCTTTCTGCCCCTGAGGTCTATCAGGAGTCACTCACAGCTCAGATTAGCAGGCAACAGCTACACAAACTGGGGCCAGCTGGCAGCAGCCTCAGCTGAATTACTTAACTGGAGAAGATGCCGAGGTCTACGTGAGCAAAGCTGCAAAGGTAAATGTGCCCAGACCTGAAAAAGGCCCTGTGTTGAGCAGCTAAAGGAGCTCAGCCTAGAGGAAAAGGAGGCTCAGGAGAGAACTTCTCACTCTGCAACTCCCTAACAGGAGTTTGTACTCGGGTGGGGGACAGGTTCTGCTCCCAAGTAACAAGCAATAGGATGAGAGGAAAAGAATGAAGAGTAGGAAAGATTTCTTCACCAAAAGGTTTGTAAAGCATTGGAACAAGCTGCCCAGTGAAGTGGTGGAGTCACCATCCGTGGAAGTGTCCAAAAGACATTAGATGTGGCACCTGGGGACATCTACCTGGGTTAACAGTTGCATTTGATAACTCTAAGGGTTTTCCAACCCAAATGAGCCTCTGAAGGTGATCATGATTCCTGTGACACCAGTTGACAGTGAGCTAGGATAACTGCACTTCCTCCCCATCACTCCCAGACCAGCTAACTCTCTCATTTCACTGCTCTTTGGGGAAGCCAGTCAGGGCTGTACAACACAAATGCTAATGTTGCAAGGCAAGAATTTAACACTCAGAAAGTTGGTGGCTCCAATCATGGCTAACACCATGGGATTGCAACTTTCCTCGATTAAAATTAAATTAACAACCCTCCAAAGGGAAAAGAAAACCCACAAGCTCCTTTTCTAAAGGGACCTTGGTATTCAGCTGCTTTCAGCCTTAACTATTAAATGTTCTGCACAAAGCACAGTATTTGGAGAACTGGCACTTAAAGAGCCCCTTGGTGTTGGCCAGAAGGGTTGTAGACTCAAGCAGTCTGAGACCTGTAATGCTGCTGGCCAGGAAGGGAGAACGATGAGAAAACCTCTGTTCCTTGACTTTGGCAAAAACCTCAGCCATTTTTGTATGTAAGAACGAGTGAACTGGTATTTACTTTGCTTGAGTTTTGCTTTATTCCCACCTTCCTTTTTTAAAGCAGCTTGACTCATTTTCTAGCAGACACAACCCTGGAGAAGGTGTGTCAGATGAAGAAAAGGGTGGAAACATTCCCACTCTGTGCAGAGGAGTAATTTATCGCACAACATGTTCAAGTGTTAACGACAGTATTTCTCCCATACTCTGAGATCCCTGGCTCCCCACTGTTTTTATTCCATATTGTCCAACAGGTCTGTTTCTCAGCATGGCCTTCCCCTCTCTGCACTGAGCAGAGGAATCACGGCAGTGTCTTCATTCTGGATAATCTCCAGAGCCCATGAAACAGCAAAGGCCAAAGCCTTTGGCTTTAGTGAACTGAAGTGGGACCCTTGCCACAGACTTCAAAGGCATCAGGATTTATCCCTAAGGAAATAAATTTACCACTTAAGCAAGCAGTTAGTCTCCAGCTTCCAATTTCTATGTGTATTTTTAGGTTCTCCCTCAGAGGCAGACAGGGGCTGTCTCTGCTAGGGATGCTGCACACTCCAGGAGTTATTTATTTGGTAGCTGCTCTGATGTTTCCCTGCTCAGAGGATGCTGCTGCTGTTTGCAATCCCAATCCAAGCGCCTCGTTAGCAACGGCATCCAGGAGTGCTCAAGGAAAAAAAGCACAACCCAAACACTCCTCTCCCTCAAAACCCACTAAGGTGGAGCCAAACTCTGGAAGCCTATGCAAAATCCGATTAAAGAGCCCTCATGCAGGACACGTATGTGGACTTTCCAGCACTAGCTCCAGGCACAGAGCTCAGGGCTCCTGTGCACCCAGCCCATCTCCTCTCCATCCCATCTCTTCTCCATCTCATCCAACTGTCCTGGGCTGTTGGGGCACATCTCCTGGGATACAGGATGTCATCAACTAATGTAAAATGCAAGGTAATTCTGACTTCCTGAAGCAGCTCCAAGTTTCGCAGAGGATTTTTTTCCCCTTCAAACTTTTTCCTCTGTGGATTTTTCCATCAAAACACATTATTTAAAAAGAACATTCACTTAGAGCTGCCTGATCCCAGGTGCCTCAAAGCTAGTAACAACATTCCTGTAGCAACATTTGAGCAACTGGGAAAAACTCTTCTATCATACTGTATATGAAGTGAGATACACAGAGATTCCTGAACAACCACATGATCATCTCTGAAAATGGGGAAAAAAAATATTTTATTGCTCTCCTTCCCATCTCTTTCTTTCCCTCCCCCTTTCCCCACACAAAAAGCTGTATAAGAAAAAGAAGCCAAAAGGCAGGAGAGAAATAACTTGCAGCTTCCCAGATTCCAACAGCCAAGATGTGATGCCCACAGCTAAAATTGGGTTGAATAAGTGCAGCAGTTCCAAAAGTCACTGCCCAGACCCTTAGTCAGCACACAGCAAATGAACTCACCCCACAATCTTTTGGATTTGTAACACTTCTGGAAAGATCATCCTCTGTATTCTCTGATTTTCCTGCATACAGGAAGACTCCTAATCCTTAGAGTAACAGCCACAGTGTTTTCCAAAACCCACAGCACTGGCTTAATTTCATCCTCACACCGACCAAGTTCTGCTTCTGAATCTCATGTTTGAAAATCCTGGGTGATAACACAGCCTCAAGTCACCAATGTTTTCTTACAGCCTTTACTTCCTCGGAAGGTTTTATTTTCTGGCACCCAGAAGGAAATGCTGTCTCTCACTGTGTGGAAACCAGGCAAGTTTTTAAAAGTTCTTTTATCACAGAGAAAGTATCTCAGAGGGGAGTAATCAACTACACTGAGGTAAACACAATGAGAGTGAAATTAAAGAGTTTGCTTTAATTGATGGTAACAAAAGACATGGCCCCATCCCATAATTACCACAGGAGTAAAATGATGGATAGAGGTGAATCTAAACAGCATATTATAATCTACTTGAAAAGCTAGATGCCAAGACACAGTATTTGTTCTGCCTCTTTATGAGCTGACATGAAACTTGCTCTGAAAACTGCTTGACTAAGTAATTCAGCCAGATGTTCACCTCCTTTGTATGGAGGCAGAATTTGGAAAATATTACATTTTTCAAAATTGCTGATGGCAGGGATCTACTCTCCCCCGCCTCCCCCAGTAAAAAGTGGTCCATGGGCTGGCTGACAGCTGAGTGTTGACCAAATTTCTATTTTTCCTTCATGTTTTAGAGACTGAGATGAGAGCCCTGGAGCCTGCTAGTCCACTTAGTGTTGTCTGCTGACGGCAGGGGAAGCTGATCACTTCCAGCAAACAGCCATGTAAAGCATCCATGTGGGAAAGGTGTTGTTATTTTAAGAGGAGAAGGCTCCTTCACAAACAGATATTGCAGAGATGCTCAGAACCCACTACCAACTGTTAAAGATGAGGTTGTTTTTTTTTCTGTGTGTTTCTGTTGACTTTGAAGCTTTTCACCTCCTTTTGTAGGGTCATTGATTATTGTACCTCAGCCTAGTCCTGCTCCTGGCAGCACCAGGGGGGTGACGCCTGGAGAAGGGGTGTAAGGACAGGCTGAAGGTGTCACTCCTCTATAGAATATTGCCTTACAGCACAGGGATTGAACCAGACACAGTCATTCTATTTTCAACCAACCCTGTGGGATTTTCCTCCCTTAAATTTGCTTTCACCTTTAGAACTCACATTATTTCTGTATGCCCGACATCCCCCGTGCTGGCAGGGGCACACCTGGGGTGCACCAAAATCAAAGAAAAATCCGTCTGCCAGAGACATTTAATTCCATAAAGCCCCAGTCCCAAGGGGCAGTTTCTAAAAGCAGTTAAGTCCTGGCAAGTGCAGGTAGATGCCAGTGACATTTTAGACACAAAGTGCTTCACTCCCACCAGTTCCACCAGACAGACAGACTGGAAATCCCATGGGACACGTTGCTAAGTTATAATCCTACACTGGTACCATAGCACTTGACTTTTACTTTTGTTGAAAGAGAAAAAAAGAAAAAAAAGTAATTTACCTTCAGAATTTCCCTGTGTGAATCCCAGGAACCAGGTAAAACACAATATAGTCCAGAGAAAGCAGAATCCCCTAAAATTGGAAGAGAAGAAAAAAAACAATGCATTTCTACAAGAGCAGTAACAAAACTAATTCCATTGCGAAAGGTCTTCTCCTTGGTCCCAAGTCTAGCAAAGGCAGTGAGAGAGTCAGCATGACTCCAGGAAGCAGATTCTGGCTGAGACCTTATTTTTCTGCTTCAAAGTCATCTAAAGCCCACTGAACTTCATGGAGAGGTTTCCCAATGATATTAGGGGCCTTGAACAAGGAGCAGTGTTTAGAGAGGCAGGGTCATCACTGCTGGGTCAATCAGTGCCTTTGCTACTGCTGCTCTTTGGCACCCACCCCACCAGAAATGCAAGAGAATGGAGAAATCATTCAAAGCTGGGAGGCCTAAAGCCCTGCCAGGAGTGCACCTGCAGGGCTGTGGGGACACAGGTAGGAAATGGGCTGACACTCAGTGCCCTGTCACCTCAGCAAACAATTCCTGAGCCCTAATGCTTTACTGTGTGCTTAACAATATCCTAAGCATGCAAAATCCCACGTGGATCTGTTTCTCATTTTACACCCAGATGCAAAGATGGGGGCAGCTTCTGACCACTCAGCACCCTGTGCTGAGCCACTGAGAACCTCCTCACAAGCCTGGTGTGGCAGGAAAGTTTAGAAAGTGGGAGATCCACAGACTTCCAACCCTGTGCTCTCACAGACCCTTTTACATCTGAGAGGGAATCTGACAAACTACTCTGTTAGCTCAGCTTTAAGCCTTCAAGTGCCACTGAAAACAGCAGCTCAGGGAAAAAAACCTTTTACCAGAAAGGTAGCTAAACCCCCTCTTCACCCATCAGCTTCCTTGATTTGTAGCCAGCTAAAGAACATGGGAAACTCCTTGGTTAGGCTCACTTAAATCTGTCATTGGAAAGTTTGAAGATTGAATTCCCTCATCTTCTAGAAAGGATATTTAACAGCTTCATCAGCAAAGGCTGCTGGAAGAACTGGCAGAAATTAGGAGGAGACAGCAGTGTGGGACATGCACAGGTTGTCACTTCAGCCCAGCCAGTGTGAGCACCGGGCTGTGCTAAGCCAAAGTGCAGCTTGCCCATCTCTCCACATCTGACACACAAGTGATATATCTAACCACTCCTCTCCTGCCATCAAGCCTCAGCTTTAGCCCAAGAAAGCATCTTGAGACAATATATTACCCTGGGCCAGCCCTCCCTGGTGCAGGAGACCCTTTCCCACAGCTGAACCAAAGCCACAGTGATTTACATCAGTGGGGAAACCTGGCCTTCAGTGTAAAAAGCCATCCAGGAATCCAGCCACTAACTAACATTTTAAGGCTTCTTGAGATAAAATACTGGAGTGGTTCCACATCAACTGGGAAATAAATGAGCTGAAGCAATCCATGTCCTCCTTTGCTGTTTCCATCACCCTGACCGGGCTGCACATTTCAGGAGTGCTGGGACTGATTCAGTTTATGAAAGAACATCCAGGAATAGCCCAATCCTGCTGCTCTTTTGCCATGTCCTACAACCAGCCATGTCCTAACCAGGAAACTCTCACCACGCTCCAGAGAGCTCCAGCTGGGGAGCCTTGGTTCTTTTCTGACAGCTCCATCCCTTGGGACACAGCTGTCAGGCTGAAGGCACTGCCAGGTCCAAGGAGAGCTGCTGTCCCAGTACATTCAGGGAGTGGAGGAAGGGAACCAGAATAAGATGATTCTTCATGCCCACCTCTGGCAGTATTTTTTTTAAATTTTTTTTTTTTTTTTTTTTTTGCATGAGAGAGGCTGAAATCCACTTCACAAGACAACCTGAAATTCTGTGCTCGTCTCCAACAGAGTTTGAGATGTGGACACAGCTGCAAGTGTGCATGGAGCAAAGACCTGACTGAGTATCATCATTTGGGCTTGACTGCCTGATGAGAGCACAGGAGGGCAGGGAAGGGGGGTCATCACCAGCATCAGTCCCTTGTGATCTGGTGAGGATCAGACCCACACAACCACTGCTGCTCACAACACACTGACGTCCACTTTTTGGTTTTTTTTGAGAGGTACCGTCACAAACCGAACTCCCTGTTGACTGACACAATGAGGAGAGCGAGTCCTGGGGGAAAATCCAGCACGTAATTTCATTCCAGCGACACTCTCGGGCTATAAAGCAGACGAATGAACGGTGTGGGATCCAGCTGGCCCCAGCCCTGCTCCTGGACCCCTCGCACGGCCAACACCGTAAGAGTTGAGAGCGGGGCCGGGTGCCAAAATGCTGAAGAAAAACACTTTGGCAAAATTTACCAACTTAATGGAAAAAGCAAAAGCAGCTTCCAAATGGCAGCCGTGTGAGTGATGGGGCTGTTAATTATCCCAGGATTTTTAATGCAGGCTCTTTTTCCGTTACAGCTCGGCAGGGACAGAGCTGCATAAGCAGCTTAAGTAGCAAGGGTAAAGAAGACTTTTCTCCTTATATAGAGCTATCAAACCCACCTTGCCTTTATCTCAGCTTCTTCCCATGAGCAATGACTTCCACTAAGACTTTATCAAGAGGAACCACTAAAGGTGTTTATTTCTTTTATTCATAGGGCCTGTGAATACCACAACCAGGATCCTGGGGCTTTTTGCCAGGAGAAGAAAATGCTCAAGAGAGAATTTAGAACACCTTCCAGTGCCTGAAGAGTCTCCAAGAGAGACGGAGAGTGACTTTGGACAGGGGGACAGGACAAAGAGGAAGGCTTTAAACTGAAGGTGGGAAGATTTAGAATCGATATTAGAAAGAAATTGTTCCCTGTGAGGGTGGGCAGGCCCTGGCACAGGGTGCCCAGAGAAGCTGTGGCTGCCCCATCCCTGGAAGTGTCCAAGGCCAGGCTGGACAGGGCTTGGAGCAGCCTGGGACAGTGGAAAGTGTCCCTGCCCATAGCAGGGGGTGAAATGAAGATGAACTTTTATGGTCCCTTCCAAGCCAAACCACTGCTGCAGTCCCTGGGTGTAGAGGTGCCCCACAGCACACATGATGTAAGCTCACATGAGCCTTACAAGTTTTCCAATGCAGACACAAACTCCCTTTATAGCAAATTGAACTTACTGACTACAGCTTAATTTTACTTCCCTACTTTTGGCAAACTCCTGTGGATCAGTCCACGGGAACTGACCAGTGCCAGAAGTCCAAGGAGAAGTGCAACTGAGAGGGACAGAGAAGCACAAAACCCTGATTCCATTCTAATTCTAATTCTAATTCTAACCAGACAAGTGCTGGAATAAAGCCCTGCACTGAACTGAGGACAACAGGAACACAACACAGCTTTCAGGGTAAACTTGGTCACAAATTATCCTCAAGGAAGTGCCAGTTTGACAAAGCTGAGGCAACCTGTAAAATAATTGTGATCAGCTAATTCCCTACTATTTCTGGAATTGGTTTGGAGCAATTTCAGCGTTTTTTTAATTAAAAGGTTTGCCCTGCGTTAAAATAAGAAGTCCAAATGATTCTGACATCTTGTTTGTTCTGATGGCAGGTTGAAGCTGAAAGAAATATTTCAAGGGGCCATGGAAGCATTTAATTTTTTATTTTCTTTTCTCCCTCATCTACAGTGGGGAAATGGCTTTGAAATTGCAAGCATTACTTCAAGGTGGAAAAACAATTCCCCACCATTTTTCTCCATTCAGGTGTACTTTCTTCCTGTTCAAAAGACCACAAAGCCAGCTGGAGGCTGAAAATTGCTTTTCAAGAAAAGCAAATCTGCATTTCTAGCTGTAGATCAGACAGTGTATCTTAAAGAGGAGAAAATGCACATGTGGCTTAAGATCCCTTGCACGTAACTGGAGGTGATATTCTATAAGACACCCAAGCAGTTTTGACAGACAACAGGAAGCAAATCACAACCTATAAACTGATGCTTTAAATTGTACTGTGCATCGATTCCATCCCAGCTTTTTGGGGCAGAAATCTTATTTTATAGCAGTAACCTCCTCTGTGGAGCTTCTGGGGCTTCTGGAAATGATGGCATTTCTCCACTCCCCCTCCATTTCTGGCAAGAGCAATGGAAACACACAACTGTGTAGATGTCCCCATATTGACCCTGCTCAGTCCTTTTCTTCTCCTCTCCTGCAGTATAAACGAGGTATTGACTTACACCTCCAGGCAAAGATTTTGTACACAGGCAGTGCTGCAAACCCCAGTGTGATAAGGGCTAAGTTTCTGAACCAATTGAAATACTGTTAGTTTTTAATCCTCATTCAGCAACTACATTTTTAAGGAAAAGTATTGAGCAGGCAAAGAGATATGGCCCATAGAAATCCATTCTTAAGGTAATTTAAAAACACTAAGAAAACAGAGTGATCTAGAAAATGTCAATATTAAGTAAGGAAAAATTAAATCCCTGTTCCTGGAAGTGTTCAAGGCCAGGTTGGATAGAGCTTAGACCATCCTGGTCTACTGGGAGGTGTAGCAGGGGAGCTGGATCCATAAAGGCCTGCATTTGATATTTGCTTATCTGGCACCTACAGCTCCTCTTTGGATGACTCCAGGAGGGTCATCCTGACCTGCAGTGAACAGGAGGTGGGCATGGAGCTCCAGCATAGCCAGGGTGACCTCCTGCAGACACCTCACACCTCCTCTCAGGGGTTAGGTTGGCACCTGCAGGCAGAGGCTGAAGGGTCCCAAACCACTGGTCCCTGTCCCCCTGACTGTGAGGACAGGAATACACAGGAACCAGAGGCTGTGAATTCACTGCCCAGAGCTGAGCTCCTCCTGCTGCCAACCTGCTTCCTCCCCTGAGGGATGCCAGACTGATGTGACCCTAACACCTCCCAGGCAGCTCCCAGCAGCTCTCCACAGCCAGGATCTTCCCTGGGAACCCATTACTCGGCCTCCCCTTCTCTCCCCATCCCTGCCTGTCTGGGATATTGACTTTGCTGCTGTGTGAAGTGACAGCACTCAGTGCCAGCCCTGGCTTTTGTGTTCTCCAGTAACTGGAGCCCTGGACAAACACAAGTGCTAAGCGTGATCTGTCATCTAACTCCTTTTTTGTCCTTCCAACAAACGCCTTTGCATTCCTTCATTTTGTGAATGGGGTTTGGCAGAGCCATATAGAATTCCCCATTGTTTCCATTTGCACTTCAGTAAAAGCGTCCATCATTTCTACTTATGCCCCCAACAAATTGGCAAAGAAAGGGAAGGGAAAAAACCAAACCCACAAATCCTGTGTTTGTCCCTAGGCATGGATTTCCGACAACCTCTCACCACAAACCTGGGCAGCGTTCAATCAGTAACACAATCTCCATGAACACAAATATTAAGAAGGGCAGATTTTGACCCCTCAACCCACTGCAGAAAGGAGATGAAGCTGGAGCTTTATTTTAATGAAGCACATGCTCAGACACCTGGGAATTGCAGGAGAGGGTGGTCCTGGACTATGATGCTGTCTGTCCCTCGTGGAACACATCTCCAGGTGCAATTGCCTCTTCTCTACCCCCAAGCACCCAGCACACACATCATTTGCCACCCTATTGGGTGAATTTGTCCAGCAATGCCATAATCTGTCCCCAAACCACCTTCCCAGCTTGCAAGCAATCTTCTTTTCCTCCTAGAAAGAGTCCATGCCTCCTTTCAGGCCTTCCCAGTGGCTGCCCCACCTTGATGGATGCTGTAGTACCACGTGTGCAGCTTTCTCATCCAGCACACAGATGGGCCAGGCAGCCCCAGAGCAGCACTGTGCCAGCACCCCAGGGCTGTGACAGCAGGCTGTCACCATCAGAGGTCTCCAGGAGCATCGAGCCTCCTGCATGGCCAGCATGTGGACCTGGGGCTAGAATGGGCCAGAGCAGCACAAGCACACTGACACAGCCTGGACATGTGCTCGATGTGCAGTGGAGTGCAAACCCTCCCCTGAGTTCTGGGAGGGCCTCACCAAAAATGCATCAGCAGAAATGACCAAGAGGGGCACATCAAGCTTGAAGAGCCTGTAAAATGTTGTGTTCTTCTGGTTTTACAAACTTTGGCAGCTCAAGCCTTCAAGCATACTCTGTGACTGCCGCTCCTCCCCTGGGGAGCCAGCCCTCCCTCTGTCACTCGCAGATCTCCTGTACATGCCCCAGCTCCCCAAGCACCAGCCCTGCTCCAGAAGAAACCCCAGGAGCGATGGTACAAGAGGGACCCCCGGTGCCACACAGGAACGCACCAGAACATTCCCATCACCAGCTGCCTTCGGGCAGCACAGCCCTCCCCACGCCAGGAGCCCAGGACACGGAGAGAGGTGGCTCAGAGCACCTGTCCAAGGTGTGTCCATGAGCCGCGGGGGGATGCGGGGGGATGCGGGGGGGATGCGGG